ATCTGTGTTTCTTAATGAAAAGTAAGTTTGAGGCTGGGGACCGTGGCTCATGCCTATAATACCAGCACTTTGGGAGGCCAAGGCTCGAGGATAGCTTGAGAACGGGAGTTTGAAACCAGCCTGAGCAACATAGCAAGACTCCATTTGTAAACACACAAAACAAATTCTTTTAATTATCTGGGTGTGATGGCACACGCCTGTAGTCCCAGCGACTTGGGAGGCTGAGGTGGAAGTATCACTTCAGCCCAAGAGTTCCAGGCCGCGGCAGTGAGCTATGATCATGCCACAACACTCCAGCCTGGGTGACAGGAGACCCTGTCTCCAAAAAAAAAAAACAAAGAAAGAAAATTCTGAGTATATCTTTCTTGTTTATTAGCCATATTTAATTGTCTATAAACTACCTGCTTAATGTCTTTTATATTTATGTAAAGCATTTTATATAATGGTTTTAATATTTTCTTATTGATCTTTCAGAATTCTCTGTATAATAAAGAATATCATTTATGTAGAAACTTAATTTTTTTCTTTTACATTATGTGATATAATTTTCTTTGTTGTTGCTATTTTGCTCTACTAGAGTTTTAATTTTTAATTTATTCTTATTTATCAGACTTTGTTTATAGTGTTTCAGTTTTGTGTCTTATCCTCATCTAAGCTTTTTTTTTTTTTTTTTTAAATAAATCACCTGTGGTTTTTCCTAGTACTTAAAAAACAAAAGTTTATAACAGGGGTCTTCAAACTTTTTAAACAGGGGACCAGTTCACTGTCCCTCAGACCATTGGAGGGCCGTACTGTAGTTTTAAAAAAACTATGAACAAATTCCTATGCACACTGCACATATCTTATTTTGAAGTAAAAAAACAAATGGGCAAAAACACCCGTATGTGGCCCGTGGGCAGTAGTTTGAGGATGCCTGGTTTATAACATTGAGCCATGTGGATTTTTTTCCCAGGTGGATAGCCAACCAATTGTCTGGATACTGTTTCTTAGATAATTCATCATTCAACCACTGGTTTGAAATGCTACCTGTATCATAATTTAAGTTTCCCCAAATATCTGGACCTATTTCTTGGGTGTATTCTGTTCCACTGAACTCCTCTTACCTCTTTCAGCGTCAGATCCAAACCAGTCAAAGCAATGCAGCTTTATAAGTGAGTTATCTATTTGCTATTTGGTGGGGATATTCTTTCCTAGTTTTTCATTTCCCTCAAAAAACTTCCTGGATATTCTCCCTTTGTTTGTTTTTTTTTTTCAGGTGAAATTTAAATTCATCTTCACAACTACAAATGGAATGTCCCTGAGCAAACTTGTTTGAATCGGGTCCTCCAAGAGTCTGGGGCGTCACTGGGAACCATGCCCACTTGAGGACCGGAGGCCAAGTGTGGCCCTGGCGAGGCAGGGGCGGGAGGCAGGGCCGGAGCCTCCTGGGGGAGCCTGTGGGGTGGCCGGCACACAGAGGGGCCCAGTGTCAGGAAGAGGATCCTTGGACCTCACAGACAGGGCTGGAGAGGAGGAGTGGCTGCCAAGAGCCCTGCTGGGGGCAGATCAAAGGTGAGCCAGGAGCGACTCTTCACAAACAAGAGACACAAACAAGAGAAGAGCCAGGGCCGGGCTGGCAGCATCGCCATGGGCCACCGGAAGGCCTGGGCAGGCCTTCTACCCAGTCTCAGCTGGGTGCACATCTCTGCACTTTGGTTTCTCCTTCTGCAAGGACAATAATACCACACCCCCAGCCCTCCTCAGACACGCACAGGCTGTGGGGAGAACGCAGGGGGTAACCGTCACAAAGGCCCAGCCTGATGCCAGGACCCCGGGAGCACCAGGCAGGGATGCTGCCAGCTCTGCACACTCATACCCAGGCCTGCAGAAATGTAGACGTCGCTCACATGTTCTCTTTCCTCAGTCTTCAAGAACGGCCTCACTGCGTGGGCCCAGAGGTTCAGGATGCTGTCTGTGGACGCTCAGGACTCTGGACTGTCTTGGGGGCAGACGAGAGAGGCGAGGGGGAGTCGCAAAGGGTCTGGATAAACTGACTTTATGGAGCTCTCAACACTGGAAAGCGGATACTCCATTCTGTCCCTCATGACATGGGAGGCTAACACCCAGGAAAGTCAGGATGAACCTCCTGGGACCAGCTAGAATATTCCATGGCCAGAGCTACGGTCCCTGGCAAGATGGTGCACTTGGAAGCTACAAGAGCCAGGGCTCCTAAGGAGATCCTGAAGAACTTAGTTTGGCCTAGGGCCTTTTAGACCCTAAAGTTGGTGACAATCTGAATGGCGTCAGGCAGAGAAGTGACAAAGTGTGTCAGGGAGGCAGCCAGCTGTCACCCTGCTACTGGCGAGGGGGAGGCCACAGCCTGGGCCTGGTGAACCTCTGCCTGAGGGGAAGGTGGGGCTGTGGTGGCTGGACATGCACCCTGACACTGGCCACCAGGCAGGAGGCTCTCCGCCGGCCTGGATTTGGAGGGTGACCAACACTTGAGGAACATCTTCCCCCTTAGCTTTTCTCAGTCAAGCTCTCTTCAGCCCAGCTTGGAGGACACCAGGGACTTGCTCGTGATCCCAGCGTGGGCGCCTGGCAGGAAGCCGGGCAGGCCTAGCCCATGATGGCAGGGTCCTCTGGGGTCTGGGGGACTCTCAGCCTCGGATCCCCGTTTCTGTGCCTGCACACACCCCCACACTCCCCTTTCCCTCGCCCCTCCTCTCAGACCTCGGGCTTCTTTGCATGTCCCCGTGCTGGCCCTACGGACACGGGGAAGTGGGGGCGCCACCGCTCCGCCTTCCATCTCCGCCCTCAGCGACGTCTTCCCGACCAGCCTCAGGCCCCCTTTCCGGATGCCGCCCTCGGCTTTCCAGAGCCCAGGGGGGGCTTGGTGCCCGCGGCTGTGCTGCCAGGGGCGCCCCTCCCGCTGACCCGGGGGCTGTACCGGGGGTGCGGGAGCGCGGGTGGCGGGGATCCGGACCCCTCTCTGGGCGGGCGGGGGCGGGGACCCCTCTCCGGGCGGGCGGGGCGGCGGGGGCGGGGACCCCTCTCCGGGCGGGCGGGGCGGCGGGGACCGGGACCCCTCTCCGGGGGTGGGCGGGGCGGCGGGGGGGGACGGGGTGGCGGGGGGGGTGGGCGGGGCGGCGGGGGTGGACGGGGTGGCGGGGGAGGGGACCCCTCTCCGGGGGTCGGGGTGGCGGGGACGGGGACCCTTCTCCGGGCGGCGGGGGACGGGACCCCTCTCCGGGCGGGCGGGGCGGCGGGGACCAGGACCCCTCTCCAGGCGGGCAGAGCGGCAGGGCGGGCGGCCGCGAGGGGGCGCCCTGCACCACCCTTTGCCTTCGCGGCGCTCTGGGAGCTGGAACCTCCGAGAAGGGCTGGGGGTGCAAAGAGACGGAGAGGCCCAGGGGCCGGGGCTGGGTGCGAACAGAAGGGGGGCAGGAAGGGGTCACTGAAGAGGACGGAGAGACGTGTCCAGAGGGCACGCGGGAAGGGACGTGCGGGCAGAGTGGCGGCGGGGAGCCTACTCGGGGCTTCTCCGCGGCCTGGCCGTCCGCCGCCTCCTGCCCCTCCGAGCGGCCCGCAGAGGGGTCCTGCCGGCAGCCACGCTGGCGTCAGCCGCTGGCACCGCCACCGCCCGGCCCGCGGCTCCAGGCAACCCAGGGCGGCGGGGACGGGGGCCGTGCTGGCGGGTGCGGGCGTCCGGGACGGGACGTGCCTCCCCCGCAGTCCGCGTCCCGCAGGCCCATGCGCACCCCGCACCCAGCACCCCGACGCGCGCCCGCGCAGGCCCAGGCGCGCTCCCGGAGGCCCGGCTCCCCTGGGGCCGCGTGCTAGGAACGTGACTCAGCGCCTTCGCCACCGGGGGTTGGGACTGCAGCTAGGACGGCCCAGCCCTTCCTCGGCCACATGTGCCCCTCTCCAGCCAGGGGCGGGGGCTTTTCCGGGGTTGGGGGTCGGGGCAGGTTCATTCATTTGTTGGGGAACTCAGCAGACAGGCAAGCGCAGGGAGAGGGAGAAGGGCCTCCAGGCCCCTCCTCCTGGCTAAGGTTGCAGACAAGAAGAGTCCTCTTGCAGGCATTTGGGGATTTGGGGTGCACGGCAGGCCACAGGAGGGACAAAGGGCTGTGGGCCCAGGTTGGGAGGAAACAGCCACAGCCATGTGGGCACATCAGGAAGGCCTTTGGAAGCAGGGGATGTAGGGAAGGGGACAAGGGTGTCCTGAGAGCTGAGTTTGGCGGGAGTGGAGGGAGGGCGGCCTTGGGAACCAGATATCAGCTAAGGTCGAACTGTATTTGGTGAGGAGCCTCAAGGGGTGGGCCGTGGGGCACGGGTTGCCTGGGGGCCGCAAGTGAAGAGACCAACGCAATGGCATGGGCAATAACTAGAAAAGACTTGGGCTACTGGCTGGGGGTGGCGCGACACGGAGGAGTCTTGCCCTGGGTAGGCCGAGGGCCAAGTTTCCACCTGTGCCCCATGCTGAGGACTGATGGATCCCACCACTGCGGTGGGAAACCAGGAGGCCTCATTCCCTGACTTTCTAGCTGCCCTGAGGCAGGGGACTGACTGAGTTGACCCTGGAGGGAGTCTCAGTGCACTTCCGAGACTCACTCATTCTTGCTCTGCGCGTTTGTGTGTCTTCCACACCACCAAAGTCCCACCCCACCCCGTCTGCCTGAGATTTGTTGAATGAATGAATGAGCAGAGACGGGCCAGAGAAAGGTGTAGGCAGTTCTCTGTGCTGCACTACCTGGCAGGACGCCACACACAATTAGATCTACAATAGAGGCTTTTTACTAAGGCCAGGGCTGGGCTGGGAGGTTAGGCCTGGGGTCCCCGAGGGCAGGCAGGACAGGCCTGGGCTGCCATGCCTCTGGTCTCCCACTGTTTACCCAGCTGAAAACTCTGCCTTTTGGATCTAGCTCTGCTGATAAGTCACTATGAGAAGTGGGGTGTGTCCTGCCACCTCCCATCCATTCTGCCATGCTCTATTGAGCACAAACTGTGTGTCATACCTGACTCCCGCCAGGTGCCGCAGAAAACTGGGCACTGCCTCTGCCCTCCTGGAGCTCCTCATCCAACAGGGGAGGCACACACTGTCGACGTAGTTCGTGGAGAGTGGCAGACGTCCAGATGGGTCCCTCAGCCAGCAGCGCCCAGGAGAAGCCAGCCTCATCTGTAGGTGACACCAGAAGGCTCTTAAGGCCTCATGCAGACTAAAGGTCCTTACTTATGTGACTGAGGACTGCTCTGGCTACTCCTGCCTCCTACAAAGAGGGCAAACTCCTGGGCTCCAGTGATCCTCCTGCCTCAGTCTTCTAAGTAGCTGGGACTACAGGTGTGAGCCACCATGGCCAGCTCATTTTTTAATTTTTTGTAGAGACAGGATCTTACTACGTTGCCCAGGCTGGTGTCAAACTCCTGGCCTCGAGAGATCTTCCTGCCTTAGCCTCCCAAAGTGCTAGGATTATAGGGATGAGCCACTGCACCTGGCCAGTGCTTCAATTTTAAATATGAATTTACAGCCAGCATGACTAGACACTGGAGGAAAGTATTCAATCTGAAAGTGAGAAACCCAAAACAAATAGAAAAAAAAGAGCCTATAGGAAAAAGACACAATGTAGGAATCAGAAGAAAACTTAAAACAACCACCACCACAATATCTTAAGGAAGATAAAAAGATATGGGAGCTATGAATCAAGAACAGGATGTTGTATAATAGGGGAAAAATCAGAACACTAAAATAGCTCTTGGAAATTAAAATAGAGTAGCTGAAATACAAAATTGCAGTAGCAGGGTTAGAAGATAAAGCAGAGATAATTTCCCAAAAAGCAAAACAAAAAGGTAAAGTGATAGAAAACAGGAGAGAAAAGACAATACAATCTAAGGCTTACCATCTGAAAATAGCAGTCTAAGAGAAAACAAAGGGAAAGAAATTATTAAAGAAACCATTTAAGACATTTTCTCAGATTAAAAGTTCCCACTGAAAGCCCATTACAGAAAAAAAAAAAAAAAGGCCCATACTGAGGGCCATTGTTGTGGACTTTCAGCATATCAAGGATAAAGCAAAGATCCTACACATGTCCAGAAAGAGGGAAACAAATCAAATACAAAGGGTTAAGAATCAGAAACTTCAAGGCAGCAGCACTGAATACTAAACAACAATGCTGTCAAGTTTCTGAGGGAAATTCCAACCTGTGATTTTTATAACCAGCCCAGCTAGCAATCCAATGTGAGAGTTTGCAGTAAATGTGCTTAGACATTCAAGATATCAAAGAGTGCACCTCCTGTGAACTCTTTCAAGAAGTTGCAAGGAATAAAACATGCAACAGGAAGAGATGAAACCTAGGAAACAGGCAGTCCAGTGTAGGATAGAGGTAAGGAGAAGTCCCAGGGTAAGCCTGATTGTAGCTGGCCCAGCCTGAGTGGGAAGACGGTTCCCAGGAGGGAGGCTTACAGAATAAAAGCAAAACTGAGATTGTCTGTTGCACTTGGAATTTAATATTGGTAGTAATACTTATATGCTTAAATGTGTAAAACATCTCTGGAAGAGCACACGAGAAACTAGTAACAGTGGTTGCCTCAGAGGAGGGGAGCTGGGTGGCTGGAGGCAGGACAGAGAAGGGACACTTGCTTTTCACTTCTCACTGATGTCCCTTTGTACCCCTTTCAATTTGTTACATGTATATTTATGGATTATTGAAAAAAACATTAATAGAAAAGAGAATAGTATTGATAAGGATGTGTAAGACTTTTTGGAACATTTGTGAAGAACTAGTTAAAAGAACATAGAAAACTAAAAAAAAATGAGAAGAAAGGCAATTATGAACTCTTGCTTCTTACATGAAAGGACATACTAGAGCATCCTTCTTGGTTCAACGGTGACAATATGTTGTGACAGTCTCATGATCTCTGCTATTTAACCAAAAATCTAACCCATTAGGAGGCTGGAGGAGAGAAGCAAGCTATATGCTCACCTTCGACGTGGCAGAAGTCAATGGATAAAATGACCAGAGCAGTTGCAGACACAGCACTGGGGGATTTTTCTGAATGGCTGGAAGAACTGAGAGTGGTTTTGGTTAGTTCTGGGAAAGGCAAAGCAGCGTTTGTTTATTTTTAACATATTAAGGCTTTTTAAGGTCAATATTTTGGCCAGAGGTGGTGACTCACACGTGTGTAATCCCAGCACTTTGGGAGGCCAGGCAGGAGGATTGCTTGAGGCCAGGAGTTCAAGACCAGTCTAGGCAACATAGCGAGACCCTGTGTCTATTAAAAAAAAGAAGAAAAAAAGATTGATATTTAATCCAAATATGAGTACCATTATGATTTTTTAAATTTCATTTAAGAAGAAAGAAGAGGCCGAACGTGGTGGCTCACACCTGTAATCCTAGCACTCTGGGAGGCCGAGGAGGGAGGGTCGCTCAAGGTCAGGAGTTCGAAATCAGCCTGAGCAAGAGTGAGACCCTGTCTCTACTAAAAATAGAAAGAAATGAATTGGCCAACTAAAAATACATAGAAAAAAAAAGCCGGGCATGGTGCCTCATGCCTATAGTCCCAGCTACTCGGGAGGCTGAGGCAGAAGGATTGGTTGAGCCCAGAAGTTTGAGATTGCTGTGAGCTAGGCTGATGCCATGGCACTCTAACCCCGGCAACAGAGTGAGACTCTGTCTCAAAAAAAAAAGAAAGAAGAAAGGCCACTGGCTATTAGGTGGAGAGCACACCAAGACCACAGAGACGGGTTTGCTCCTCTGTAAACTGAGGGTATCTGGCGCTCTCAGGTCTGTGCCATAGGGAAACGGGTGTCCCAGCAGCTCCTTCTCCTCCTCCTCTCCTACTACCCACTCCCACCCCCACCCTTCCTCACCCACCCCCCCACTCTACCGTGCACCCGATTTTCTCCCAAACTCTTCCTTCGGATAACAGCTCCCTGGGCCGGGGAAGTGGAGCCTTGAGCTCAAGTGTTGGGTGGGGGCCCGGGGTGGGGAGCACCCCCTTTGTGACCCACCTCTGCCTGGGCCCAGGAGGGGAGAGTCTGGCTGATTCTCCTCCCCTGCTTGGATTCCTTCTGGGGCGAGACGCTCCGATCTCCCGCTCCTTCCAGGGAAGCCCGCATGTGGGTGAGATGCGAGTCCTGGCCCTCTGTGGGGTCCACCGGCCCACGCCTCCTGTACCCCAGTCCCTGCCCTACCCCACCTGGCCTGGTGGGACAGCACTGGCTCCCAGCCTAGCTGTCCAGTCAGTCCTCCACCAGGCCAGGATTAATCTTTAGCCAAATACCCTGCCCTGGGGCTCAGACTCCTCCCGGGTGTCCACCCTCAGGACCCTGGGCCGGTGGCCTGGGCAGCCAAGTGGGCCCAGGCAGGTTACAGGAGTGTCCAGCTTGGCGGCTCTGGGGCGCAGTCCTGGTGCACAGTGCGGTGGGGCCAGGAGAAGACAGCTGTGCTGGGCACAGCTGTGTCCTCGTGACCTTGTGGCTGGGGTGCAAACAGGCAGAAGGCCCATTTCCAACCCTGTGTGTTGGGGGGTAATAAAAGAGGTGAGGGCCTTGAATGCCCTCACCAGCCCTCCTCTTGCCCTCTGGCTCCTCACTCCCAGGACTGGCAGTGACCGCCCCAGGGGAATTGGGGATGGGGGAGGCAGTGAGAGTGGAGAAGGCCTCCCTCTGCCATCCCCAATCCCTCTCTCCCTCCCTCCCCACCCCACATCTGGGTCATGGCACTCAAGGGCGCACTGCCTCACCCACAGGGAGGCACCTGAGGCACCAAATCCACAGCATCATAAATGGGCCTGTCACTTGTTTCCAGAACAGGGCAGCATGGGGTTTTCCTCAAAGTTCTCCTGGGGCCTGGAAGGCCCTCCCCCAACCTCTGCCCGTCCTGGGGTCAAACCGCTGCCCCTGGGGCCTTCAGGACTGTCCCCAGCCTGGAAATGGGAGAACCCCTTGGTGCTGACTGTCTGGAGTTTTCTGCCCAGGCTGCTTTGCTCCTTTTCTACCTTTTATTGATTTGCCAGCACTTTCATTCATTCATTCATCCATCATTCATTCTAGAAATACTTAACAAGTTGGGCACTGCATTTGGGGCTTCAAATGTAGGAGGGCGCAGGGCAGACAGGTTATGAGGCTTATGAGGAGGGGCCTTGGGTCCCAATTCATACCTTCCCCCTCACCCCTGCCCAACTCCTGGCAAAGTTCACTTTAAGGACGCTGAGGAAACTCTGATGCTGGGTGGGCATGTGGACAGGGCTTGGTGCCCACAGTTAGGCAGCCTGGGGCAGAGCTGGATGAGGGGAGGAACGGGAGGGTGGCCTCAGCCTTAGCTTAATTCCCTGGGCAAACAGCAGACTGGGCGGGCTCTGCAATTCTGCTTCAAAGGGCTGTGGGGGGGCGTGGGCAGGGCCGCTGAGTGGGGGTGTGAACTGGCACGTCCTTGTCCTTTCCAGTTCCTGGAACTTTGCTTTCCTGGGCACTGGGAGCTGCTTCCGTCCAGGGGGAGAGAGGGCCTGGGGCTCAGACCCCAGCCTCCCATCCTGCCCTCACCCCAGGGGCTGGTGGGGTCTGGGGTGGCCAGTTCAGGATGCTACTGGGAGGCGGGAGGGGCCCGCAGCGGGGCCTTCAGCTCTGTTGTCCCTGTCAGTTAATGTGCCCCCCACCTCTCCTTGCCTGGCCAGCTCAGGGTGGTTGGCTTCTGGGGAACAGTGTCCTTCCAGTTGGCCCCTGGCAGCGTCTGCGGCATGCGGGGAAAGTTCAGGCCCGAGCATGCCCGGTGGCTCTGACCTGTCTCACCTGGGAGCGCAGAGTGGGGTGCATACATGTGCCCTGGGCAGGAAGCAACCCCCACCCCACACTTCTGGGCACCTCATCACCTGCCCCTGGCTAACACCACTAACACCGGTCAGCTGGTCAGCCTGCCCCCAGCGTGGGTGGCCTCACAAAGCTGCCTCCCCTGCCCCAGGTGCCTCCCCTCCCTTGTCACCTGTGTTTTCCTTCTCATCAAACAGGAATGTGTCAGCAGGAGCCGGGCTGCTCTCCCCATTGTTAACAGGGCAGGCTCTTGGGCCCCTCCCCACACCCCTCCTCCAGACAGGCCTGGGCCTGCCCCGGGGCCAGCCCACTGCCCCCTGCTGGGAGTCCACAGTGCACCTGTTACCTTTGGGCCTCAGCCCAGGGGGAACTGCACTTGACTCCTGAGTCCCCACCTTCCCACCCTCCGGCTTGCTCTTCCTCCGCAAGTCCAGTCCAGCTGTGTGGGCTGCAGGGCGGCTCAGCGGGGGGCCTGACAAGTCTGCCCCAGCAGAGCATAAGTGTGGGTTCGAGGGGATCCCTGGGGACCTTCCAGACCTGAGAGTCACTGGGCCCCAGGTGGCCTGTCCATGGAACAGGATGTGCTCTGCGCTGGGAGGGGGGGTCCCCCTAGGTCTGAGCTCCTGCTCTTGCCCCCAGTGGCTGGCCCCCTCCTCTCCCTCCATCTCATTCCTAGCTGGGGATCCGTGGTGGGCGGGAGAATGGGGACAAGGAGGAAGTTAGGGTGGCTCCTTGCTGTGGGTAGGGTCTTCCTCCAACACCTAAGCATGAAGTGGCTTGGAGCTGGTCACCTCAAAAGTGGGGTTTGCAAGTTAGAATTAAAGGAGATGCGGAACCTGCCCAGAGAACTTGAGTCGTGGGCCACAAGCTCAAAAGGCATGGGACAGTGAATGCACCGCGTGGTCCTGCAGGAGGACGGGGCTCAGAGCAGCACCACTGGGGCCGTCTGCAAAATCTGAGTGGGGTCTGTGGATCAGATGGGACTAACAGGCCAATGTTAGTTTTAATGATTGTACTGGCATTTAGAAGTGTCCTTGTTTTCAGGAAATACACACTAAAGTATTAGTGTGACGGGGCATGGGGTTGGAAACTTATTGTCACGTGGTGCAAAACATATTTTGATTGGGATTACACCAAGTCTATAAATAAATAAGAGGTAAATTAACACCTTTTTAAAAAAGGCCACCCTGCTGAGGGGTGGGTTCCAAGGCTCCCACATTCCCCACTCTCCAGCGATGCCTGCTGAAAGAGTGTGTGCAAAGCCTTCTTCAGACCCCCCACAATTTTGGCTGCACATTGGAAGCATCTGGGGACCTTTAAACATGCTGACACCTGGGTTCTGCCCCAGAGGTTGTGGCCTAATTGGTCCAGGTGCAGCCCTGGCTTCAAGATTTACAGGTGCTCCCGGTGACTGGGTGACTGTCACTGCCACCCAGGAGCAAACCTCACTCTGCTTCTTGGGCCTCCTGCTCCCGCAGTGGGCAGTTCTGCCTGCCCCTGACACTGCACCTCTTCCCCCACCAGCACGGGCCTGGGGCAGAAGGTGTCACACTCTGCCACCCTCCACATGACAATCCAGGGTGTTCCCACCTTGGGCCAGGCTGGGGGCTGATCCTGGAGGCCAGTGAGAGAGGCTGGAGCCCACCTCTTCCCCCAACACTGGGGTCCACGGAGAGGAGGGGGTGTGGGTGGGGAGAGAGAGGGAGGAGTTGCCTGGTGGGGGAAGTGGAGGCTGGACAGCCCCCTGGGCCCGCATTGTGAAGGGGGTGGGCCCAGTAAGGCCTGCAGTGTGTGTGCCCTTCTGGAATATTTGGAATAATTAGCAAGTGAAAGCAGCAAGTTAGCAGGGGAATGCCAGGTTGGCTGAGAGCCAACCTTGAGGACAAAGAAAGGGGCACTGGGAGAAAGGGGTCCATGGAGGCAGGGCCGGATTGCTTGCTTGGGACAGTGGCCATTTGTGCCCGTGTGTGCGCGCCCACGCTCGCGTACATGTGCACGTGTACATGGAAGCTGCTGGGGGTGCCGTGCACCAGGGGCGTGTGTGGGTGGCAGGGGCTGGGTGGGGACGTGGATCCCAGGAAAAACTAGGGTGAGGGGATTGAAAGGTGCTGGCTGTCACCCAGACACGTTTCTTGTGCCTTGGTTTCCCCACCAGGACTCTAGTAGTCTGGTTCCTCACAGAGCGGACCTGCCAGTGTGAGTCAGGGAGAGTCTGAGCACTCCACGCCCACTTCCCTGGCGGCCTTCCTGCTCCCCAAGCCTGCACTGCGTGGATACATGCCAGAGTGGGACGTGGGGGCCCTGGGGCTGGGGCCCTCTGACCTCACACCCAGTCCCTCCAGGAGAGGACGGAGGGAGGGGGGTGCCCGACACAGGCCCGGCTGGAGATGAGGGACCACAGACTTGGGCAGGCGAGCCTGGGCAGGTCCTCGTTGGCGGGGAGGCATGAGCCTTTGTGAGTCCCTGCACTGGAGCAAGGACTGGGGCCACCCCTCCCTTTGGCTCCTGCTGCCCTGGGCTATGGACACAGGTCTCCCCATTGGGCAGATGGGGGCGCTGGGGCCCAGGCTGCCGGAGGTCTTCCCAGGGCGTGGGAAGTTCATCAGGATCTCTCTGCAAGCCCCCAGTGTCCCCATCATCTTCTCAGCCAATCTCTGCCTCCCGCCAACACTGGCTGGGCCCTCACCTTTTCCCAAAGAAAGTTTGGAGCAGGTCCATTTTCAGATTTTTAAAAATTTTATTTTTAAAAATTTTTTATTGTAAATAACGTTCCATGAAAAAGGTTAAATTGCCCCACGGGGCAGGAGGGTGGATGTGGGACGCCGCCCAGGAGGTCAGGATGGAGCGAGGCACACCCCCCCCACAAGAGCAGGCAGGGGCGCGGGGCTCCCCCCTTCCTGGTCCCAATGGTTCCAGCAAGCTCGGCGCCCCTCCCAGTTAAGCCTTAGCTACAGCTACTCTCACTACATTAGTCTGTCTGTTCCCCGCCTCCCCGCAGCTCGGCTGCCCCCAGCGCCCCAGAACCCCAACTTCCTGCTGCTCTCAGTCTCAAGTTGGGCTCAAAGATTAGGGATTTACATCTGCCCTAGGGATGGGTCCAGGCCAAGACTCCAGAGGCCTTGGGGAAGATTTCCATGCCCCATGCTGCATCCCCCCCATTTCTGTCTCCTTGCTCTGCACCCCCTCTCCCAGCCAGCCTCTGCCTGCCAGGCCCCGGGGAGGCTCTGCCAGGAAAGGCCTCCAGGGGTTAATTTGCTGTCACCTAATTAGCATTTGTTGTACCGGGGAACTTTCTCTGGATAGAGACCTGGGGAAGCAGGAGGGAAGCTGAGGTGCTCTGGGGAAGGGCCTCTCTGTTCCTCCCCAGCCTGGCCAGGCCCTTCCAGGCCTCAGCTCTCAGGGTGCAGGGCCCCAGTTCCTGGGGCAGGGGAGAGGCGGATCAATGAAACACTGTGTGTGCAAGGGAGCTGGCAGGGGAGGCAGCAATTCTGGTCCTGGGCCCCCAGTTCTCAGCCTCCTGGGCTTGAATCTGAGGGCAGCCGGGGCTGGTGGCGGTGTGGCCTCATGGGGCCAGCCTTGGGAGACCTGGCCCAGCCCCTGCCTGGGCGATGGGGTGTCCGTAGGCCTGTACTGGGGGGGCAGTTTTGGGCCCTGACTTGGGCATTGTCCGGAGGTGGGGTGGGGCCTGGCCTCTTACAAGAAGGCGCCCACGCTAGCCCAGTCCTGCAGGTCAGCGGCCAGAGTGGCGTCCCCAGCCTCAAAGAGGGGCTCCGGAGGCAGGCAGCCACTGCCACTCTCGTCCCAGGGGTGCTGCAGGAAGGACGTGGCCAGGAAGGTCTCGTCAAAGTCCAGGCTGTCAGCAGCCTGCTCCACTGGAGGCCCCCAGGTTGTGGGGCAGTCGATGTGGCGGCCGTGGACAGTGAGGTCCACATCCCCATGCGAGGCGGGGCTCAGCGGTGGGCTCAGCTCCAGGCCCTCCAGGGCACCCAGCTCCCCGCCCAGTGTGCCGGCGTCGAAGATGGCCTCCCAGTCAAAGTTGCCTTTGAGGGGTTCCAGCTCGCCCTGCTCCTCCTGGGTCAGCAGCAGGGTGCTGGGGGGCCGAGGGACCTTGGCCACCCGCTTGGGCAGCGGCTGTTTGCGCTTATGCCCCAGCCTGCCCTCGCCCGCGGCCCAGCCCGCCTCCCCAGTGGCCTCCTCAAACTCCCGCAGCAGCTGCTGGGCCTCGGTGTTCACCGTCAGCGGCCGGGCCCAAGGGGCAACGCTCGGCTCCTGGGCGGCCTGGCGGGCGAAGGCCGGGTGGATGTGGACCGGGGGCAGCCCCCGCTTCTTGAAGGCCCCGCTCAGCAGCCGCTCAGCGTACTGGGGGTCAATGCGCCAGAAGCCCCCCTTGCCCGGCTCGTCCTTCTCCCGAGGCACTTTGATGAAGCACTTGTTCAGGGACAGGTTGTGGCGGATGGAATTCTGGCACAGGGAGAGAGAACGAGAGAGGAAGGAACCTATAGGTCAGTGTGGACCCTGGTGATGAAGTGGCACCTAGCACTGCAGCAGGAGCCCCATCATCTCTCCGGGCGGGGGAGGGGAGGACAGACGTGCTGCTCTGACCAGGCGAGGCTGTGGCTCTGGGACAGCAGCCACAGGGCACCAGGAGCCTGGAGTGCTGTCGAGGGCTTTTGTTCCCTGTTGCCCGGATATGTGCCTGCTCAGTCATCCGAGCTCTGAGCCGCAGGGTGGCACTCAGTGCCACCCCCGTCGCCTGCCCTCCCTTCCTTACCCTGCCACTTGCGGCCTCTGGCCAAAGCCCTGGGCTCCCCCAGGGCCTGGACGGCCACCTCCCTGGCCTGGGCCTGGCTGGCCCTCTCTGTGGAGGGAGTGGGTGGAGGGAGGGGGCTGGGCAGCTGAGGATGGGGTGAGTGTGTGTGTGTGTGTATCTGCTGTCTTTCCTTGTTTGTTGAGCCAGCTGCTGGCCTGGGCCTTCACCCCCCACGGCCCCCTCCTCCCACCCCGGCTCAGTTGATTATTACCCAGCCAGGAGCATAGCGCTCATTCCTGGGGCCATTTCCAGAAGCCCGAGCTGCACAGGCTTAGGGTAGGGAGGGGGTGGGGGTCTCTGCTTTCTCACAGAGGCTACAAATGGCACTGCCCCAGCGTCAGGGCCATTTGGAATGGCTTGGCACTGTGATCCTATGGCCTGCCCCTCTGGGTGCCCCAGAGAAGAGTCCAGGCATTGCTGGGCTCTCTGCCTCCAACTGCCCTGGTCCTGATGGTTGAAGACTCTCAGGGCACTCTCTACCCAGCCTCAAACCCATCGTCATTGTCCATTCGTAGGTGCTTAATCTTGTCCAAACCATGCTGGGGGTAGGGTCTAGGTGCGGGGCTGGGACAGTGGCCCCCAGCAAGCTGGGTGTTTACATGGTGGCCTGGGCCCTTGGCTGCTCTGCACCAGCTTCCCAGGCTTGGAACACAAAGCCAGTGCAGTAGGCAGAGCCCCTGTGGAAAGTACCTGGCTCAGGTTAATTGTCCCCCAAGGGAGGTTGGCTGAGAAGGGGGGGGGTGGAAGCAGGAAACTGGGGAGGAGTTGCTGTTGGGGGGCTGAAATAGCAGCTTTAAGAAGGCCTCATTGCCCCCCACCCCCCACTGGGATGCAGCTGGCTTCACACCCCACAGCACCTGCCATGGCCCTCCCCAAGCCAACTGCAGAAAGGTGGGAGTAGAGCCTAGCTCCGAGGCCACACTCCAGTGTCCGTTTCTGAGTCTGGCCCTGGTAAAGTGTCTTTGTCAGGGCAGTGTCTAGGAATTCTAGGACTTGGTACAAGAATGTGCCCTCAGTCCACCAGCCTCCCCCAGGGGACTGTGTCCACGCATAGTCGAGCCCTGGCCTTTGGCTGGGTCTACTGGATGACTAGCAGGTTCCTTCCCCTTGAACCTCAGTTTGCACCCCTAATGCCCTGTGCCCCTGGACATTCCCCCTCCTCCTTCTCCGGAAGTCAAAGGAGAGGCAGTTCCAAGAACTGGACTCTTTTCTCCTCCCCTCCGGCGCCCTGACTGCTGCACTGCGCCTAGATGGCCTGCAGATCTGGGATGTGAATCCAGGCTGGGGAGGAAGGGAGTGGGGAGGGAGCGGCCACCGCCCGCACCTCCCCTACCTGCCAGGTGGGATCCGCATGGCGGAAGTAGCAGAAGTTGTCCGTGATCCACTTGTAGATGGCCGACAGGGTGATCTTGGTGGCCTTGCTGGCCTGCATGGCCATGCAGATGAGCGTGGCATACGAGTAGGGAGGCTTCACGTGCGGGTTGGTGGCGTAGTCCACGTCGTCGGGGGGCGGGGCCCGCAGCCCCGGGGGCGCGCTCCGCGACGTGCACGACGACGTGGGCTTGCCTGGCGTGTGCGGCTGCCCCAGGCAGGCGGGGTCGGCCGCCAGGGGGGACCCGGGCGCCACGGAGCCTGGCACCTGGTGGTAGCCGTGCGGGTCGGTGCCCCCCGGAGGCAGGGCGGGGGCCTTGGCGTTGAGAATGGAGAATTCCTGCAGCCACTGCAGGCTGGTCAGGCTGTCATCCAGGGCGTCGGGCTCCTCCAGGCCGCCCTCCGGCCCGGCCTCCTCCGCCGGCCCTGCTCCCGAGAGGCGCAGCCAGCTCTCCGCCATGTCTGCGGGGACTCTCCGAGGGGGCGGGCACCATCCACGGGCTGCGCCGGGGGTGGCCTGCCGTGCTCTCCGGGCCGCCGACTCCCGCAGCTCCAGTTACGCAGCCTCCTGGACGTGCGTTTCCATCTCGCGACCCCGAGGTCGCCTCCTCCAAATGCGTATGTGGTGCCTGCGGGGACCACAGCGGGAGCTGAACACTTACCCCACCCCGAGGGGAGAGGGTGTGTAAGGCGGAACCTCCTCTGAAGCCGTCCCCGCAGCTGGATCTTTTAGTGCCCGCGAAACAGAAGCAATGCCCTGGGGTCCGACCCGCCGGATCCGCCTCCCTCTTCCTTTCCTCTTCGAGGTTTCTTTGGCCAAAGGAGGGAAGAGGGTAGGGCATACGAGTCTGCCCCTTTCTGTCGAAGAGTAGGAGATGAGGACCCCCTTCCTCCCCGCAACAAATGGAAATGGGGCGGGAAGTCCGGGAGGGCAGAGCGACGGGACGGGGGCGGAGGATGTCGTCTGATTCTTGAAAAGGGGTTTTGGGATGGGGGCGGGAGGGTGTCAAGGGAAAGGAGGGAAACGGAACAGAGAGTTATGGGGGGCAGGAAGCGAGTTTTCCTCAAACTCCTCAGATGTCGGTCCCCGGGCCCACCCCTTCGTCGGGGACAGATGGGAGAGCGGGCCGGTCCCGACGCCCTCCCTCCCCGTGGCCTGTAGCCCGCCCCCGCTGGCCCCTTACCTGGCTCAGAGAGCAGCCCGAGCCCGAGGAAGGTTCTGGAAGAAGTTCCTCCCACCCCCCGCAGCTCTCTGCCCCCAGCTCGAGGGCCCCCGCTAGCGCCCCTCGTCGCCCCCCCGCCCGACGGCGCTTCTCTGAGCGCCCGCGGCCCCGGGACCGGCATTAAGTAGCCGCTCCAAAGGCTTCTCCTGCTGCCATGGCGACGCTCCGCCCCCATAAACAGCTTCCGGCGCTGCCATTGGCCAGCACGTCTCCAAGGCGACCGCGGGCCCTCGCTACTCTCTCCGGCGGCAACTCTCTTCGAACTCCCTCCTCCTGCCGCCCTCTCCCGCGCCACCCAACCCCCTACCCGCCACCGCGTCCCGGCTCGGCGCATTCCCGCCCTAGGGCCCCGCGCTGGGGTCGGAGAAGCGCGCGGCTCGGCCCGAGGCCTCAGGAACCGCCGTCGGCCCTTCACCTTGGGGAACCGCCACTCTCGCCCCCGCCCGCTTCGCGCCCGGCTGCTCCGAGGCGCTGACCGCTTCTGGACGGAGCCAGGGCTTGGGGACCAAGGCCGGAGCGAGCTCAGGCTCAGGAACTGTGTCCTTGAGGTTTTCTCCCTTCTGCGCTGCGAGTGGCACTTTCTCTTGCTTCTGCGGCCTTTCCCTCTCTCCCGACCCCGAGAGTCGTCTCTGGTACCCGCAGGCGGGCCTGACTCTCCGATGCCACCTGCCGCTCATGTCCACAGAAGCGGCCACAGATCGCAGACACACCGTGGCGGGGAGGGTAATCCAGGGGTTCGCAGTAAACAGCTCCCTACCATGCGTATCCTGAGTAGGGTTCTGTAAGCTGACTTTCCAGAGGTTTCTGTAGAAGTGCAGTCCTTCCTTTCAGATAGCTGAGGAAGCAGAGCCCGTGGGTAAAACTCATAGGTCATGGACTCGACAAAATTCCCTAACGGGATCATTTGCCCCATTAATTTCACCAACCTTTAAGTGACAGGGACTAAGGGTCGAGGAGCACTGGAGACTGTGGCCCTCCCTCCTCCCTTCCCCTGGCCTCCCTCCTGTCACCAGCTTTCCTGCTCTTTAATTATTGAGGAGCTGCAGTGTTGGAAGTTCTCCGGTTTAAGGCGGCTGCAGAGGCCGAGGTGGGGGCTGGGCTGCCTGCTCAGCCTCTGCCCAGGAGCTGGATGGAGCACAGGGCTGGGAAGCCTGGTGCCGGGAAGGCCTCGCAGAAAGCCAGGCAATGGCATGTCAACTTCCAGCCAGGAGCATACTTTTCCTTACCCCTTGCCTCTCCCACTCCTCCAACTCTAGATCCTCTTGACTAAAAATATTAAAGAGTGCTGGAGAAAGTTGGACAGAAACTTTCACACATAAGCCCACTTTGCAGTTAATAGTTCTCCTTCCCTTGTAAACAGTTTTATTCATTTTTAAGAATCATGCAGCAATCCATAAATATTGCATCCTTGATGTCCCCACTATAGTGTGCGCACGAGTGTACTCCAGGGAGCAAGGGGTACACAGATGGCATAAACACTATACACATGCACACACCAGGTGTGCAGACCCTAAAGCAAAGTGAGCAACCAGAATGCCAACACCAGGTGGGCAGGATCCTAACTCCCCAGGGTGAGAAGGCTTAAAGCATGTGGGGCTGTGCCCAGGAAATGCCCCAGAGCGGGTATAAACTCTGGTGGGAGAGAACTGAGCAGGAGGAAGAAAGACTGTGAGGAGGCCAGGATCACATCACCCAAAGGCTATGGGGGAGCATAGACCTAGTGTGGCACGAAGCAGCCCCAGGCCTTCACAGGTAGTCTGAGCCCTCACGGGAGGAGTCAGGCCCCACCCTCTCTCTGGGTGAACCGACCATGTGACGATGTCTCTAGACAGACTAGGGCGGAAGAGTTGGCAGCTGACCTGCCCTCATCAGGCTGACTGAGCACCAACCCCCTGGGATGGGATATTTCTGCTTGTCAAAGAGCTAAATCAGAACAAAGAGGACAGAGAAAGAGAAGAGGAGGGGGGAGAGAGAGGGAGAGAGAAAGAGAGAGGAAATAGGAACCTAGGAACCGAGAAACCAGGATCAAAGGGCATTTCTAACCTAGGTATGTCTTGGATATGGAACTGAGGCCTTGAGGAATCCTTCTGAGCCTCTTGGTAGGAGAGGCTGAGCCCTTACTGGGAGGGAGGACACACCCTCCAAGAAGGGGTGAAGATAACAGCTTCCTCTTAGGGGCCCTGGCCACTGTGGCTACTGTTTACCTGAATTTCCTTCATCTAGGCTCCTTCCTCCATCCTCCCAGGTAACACCACACTGCGAATACTACCTGCTGGGGACAGGAGGTGGCTCTGTGTGCTACCACCCCAGAGTAAGGGAAGTTCCCTGTTGCCTTGTGCTTCTGGGGCTCATAATCTAAGGAAATCAGGAAGTGGGGTTATTGCTCAATTTATACTGGCTTAAATCTTAACTATGAAAGGGGCTGTAAGAATGTTGGGGGAAGGAAAGGACATTAGGTGAGGCCTGAACCTGTAGGGTCCACTGTGGTGTTTCAGACTAGGTAGATGACAGGCTCCCCTCCACCAGGGCAGGCCGTGAGCCACAACCGCTAGGCAGCAACAGCCATCATTCATCTCACTCCTGGCCTCTGCAGCTACACAGAAGGTGTAAACGACCCTTTGGGCTCTTTTTGAGGCTATCGGCCTTGGAAATGGTCTTGAAAAGCTTTTCCAGGGTAACAATCCCAAATCCTAAAACAGCTTACCACAATGGGCATAGCCTGTAATGCTCTCCCATATCTCAACCTTACAAATCATTGTTGTTTCTAACTTTGCTTCCAGAATAATCTCATGTCTCACTAAACAACCACCTTTTCCAAAAGCAAGTAGACAGCACAACCTTCCAAGAGCCGTGTGGGATCCATTGATAACACCAGTGTTGAGAAAGGAGTTTAACAGCCACCAACTTAGAGGCTAGCCATGCTGTTTCAGGGTTCTGTTTATGTGCCTTACACGGGGTGGAGGCTGGGACATGAATGGAACGATATCTCTTAATTGCTAATGAGCATGTGGAGGGCTCTATCTCCCCCTTCACTGGTTAGGCTCAGCAGATCTGGAAGACGGGAGTAACACATGAAGGGCGGGGAGGGTCCTGGAGGCAAAGGCCCAGGCTCCAGCCTCCAGACCATGGCTGCTGGCCCCAGGCTGCAGCCTGGACTGAGTCCAGTGCTCTCCACCACTGCCTTTGGGGGTCCCGGGCACCAACTTGAGAATCACTGGTCCATACCTCTCTTAGTCTGTTTCTTCGACCATTAATAAAGGGGCAGAGTTGGGGGAAATAGCAGTAAGAATCCCACCTTCCAGGGCTAGGTGAGGATGAAATACAGCAATACACGACAGCTCCTCACACAGTGCCTGGCACATGGAGGTGGTCAACAAACGTGTTTCTTGAGGTGTCACCTTAGGATGGTGTTCCAGGCCTTCCTGAACGTACCTGACCAGGGAAATGCTCCTTAAGGGTAATCGTCTTAACAGGATTCTCAGGTTCAAGGGCTCCTCCCCAAACAGACAGGCACAAGAGGCACAGGAGATGAGCTCTGCTATTAGAAGGAAGAATTTTTTTAACCAACTTTTGGTTGCTACCATTTCTCTTTTCCTTGAGAAAGGAGCTCCTAGCGCTTACGGAGGGAAACTCCATGTATAGTGCAGTATGGCTCTCCCTTGTCCCAGGAACCACCCCCGACCCCAGCCCAAGTGGGGTTTCAAGTTGGTTATGATGTGCCAGAGACCAGAAAATGCCAGATGGATGTTTGTAAGACAGCTGCCAAAACTCCAAGTCTTCTTAGTTTACCCCTTAAAGAGAAAAAAGATGTGTAAGAAACAACTAGCCTGTGGACCTCAGCTCCACCTGAACGTTAACATACAGCGGGAACATTCCAGAGAGTCTCTGCAAAGGGTCTCATGAGCTGCAGTTCATTGAGTGGCTTCAGCCCACAAGGAGAAAGGAAAGGAGGGCTTCCAGTCCCTCTGAGAGGGGAAGGACCATGGTTACAGGAGGCGAGGTTGGGAGGAGTGGGCAGAACTCAACGTCCAGCTTTCGCATGAGTATAAACAGTCTACACGTGTCTCGGTGAGGATGCCCAGGAGGCCTGCAGCCCCGTGAGGATGGAGGGAACGTGAGGGCAAGACGGGAGCCCGGTACAGCGGCTGGGGCTCTCAGACAGCCAAAGGACCCCACACACAGGGCCTATTCTCGGGGTCCTCCAGGCTGCTGGATGACAGGCGCCGGTGCTGGGTGTTCCGACGAGTGACAACGTTGTCATCAGCCTGCCAGGTACCTGGGGAAGAGAAAGTGAAGGTTACAGGAGCTGGACCTTTGGCCATGTCTAGACGATGTCTCCAGCAGGGCGGCCCAGGAAGCTAGCAGGATGCGTGGGACCTGAAACTCTATAAGGGCAGAAGCCACAGCACACGAGGAAAGAATGGGGAGAAGCAGGCGCGACGGTGCAGGGGCTGTGTACTGTCATTGCTGCTGTGGCTCCCGGACAGAGGACACAAAAGCTATTCCTTATTTTGTGAACTTGCCCTAGGCTCCACTTTTGCGCCTTAATTACTGGGGTTTGAAGTGTGCCTGTATGCGATGATGGACACGGACAAGGACACAGAGACAGGGCTTCGCTGAGCTGTTTTTATCAGGGCAGGACGAAGTGCGGGGAGAGGAGAGTAGGTTTGTTCAGGCCCAAAGTGTTAGTGTTTTCTGTGGAAACCAAGGTGGGGCAGGAAGGGGCTGGCCACCCCACATGGAGCCTGGGACAGAATGGCATCCTGCAGGGACAGCACAAGGCTCTAACACCCCTCCCCCACACCCACTGCTCTTCATCTCCCCCTGCACCTGAGCAGCAGGCAGAGGTTTGCTATCAGCTGGTGCCATCAGCCCAGGCGGCACTAGCCCGAGAACCTTGGAGTCCCACAGGTACCAGCACTGAACTCATCCTCCTGCCACAAATCTGCTGCCACCCTGTGTGAGGAGCAGCAGCTGCCCGACCAGAAACCCATTCTCGGTGCTTCTCCCTCCTTTGTGCTCTGTATCCAACCCACCACCACCTCCTGTTTGCACCCTGCCTAGTCATGTGACTAAATCCGTAGTCGCACCGACTGGGGCTTCACTCCCAGTTTACGATAAACTGACTGTGATACTGCGCACATCACTTTACTTTGAGCCTTGGTTTTCTCATCCATTGAATGGGAGAGAAGTACTTGGCTCATGGGCTTGCTGTGAGGACCAAAGGAGATCACAGGAGGGAGCTGGCAGAGCACCTGGCTCTGGGACAGACTGTGCTCCTTCAGGCCACCCTCATCTCTTCCCCACGCCTCCTCCTGCTCTCCAGCGCCCAGCTCCCCCTGCTGAGGGAAGGCAGGGCCTCAGCCACCTCTGCCCTGGGGAGCAAGCCCTGGCTCCCTGGGGTGAGGGAAGGCATTTCCTCCTTTGGTCCCCATGGGCCTCTGGAACTTTGTCTCCCAGTGTCCTCCCCTCCAAGGCACCTGGGGGCCAGAGGACGCCCTGCGTGCTCCCCACAGCCTGCCCCACACTGCGGAAACTGCTGCATCCTTGAATCCTCCGTTAGACCGTACGCTCCTCCTGGGCAGAGGTGGCGACGTCCTCACTGGTGCACACCGGAGCCTGGCACAGAGCCTGGCCCGTCAGAGGACTCGTTCAGTGGGCAGGGCCGACCAGCTGTAGAGTGCAGTCCTGAGGTTGAGGGAGGCCACTCGCAGGTGTCCAGGGCCTACCTCAGGCCAGTCCAGGACACAAAACCTTTAACGGCACCAGGGGTAACCAGGTCTAAACTGCTTATTTCCCGCTAAGGTGTGACAATCCATCCTAATAGTCTCATAATAGGCTGTGGTGGTGGACGCCAGGGGGAGAGAAATGACTAGAACAGGAAAGTCTGAGGCACCTCTCCCTCACACCCCAACTGGATTTGGGATCTTTACTCCCTGGGGGCACTGGACCCTGGGACATGACTCAAAGGTGCTCTTCCCCTCCTAATGTGGCAAGATGAATATAAGGCAATATTGCCTTTTAAGCTAGGAACCCCAAATAAAATAGGCTGTCCGTTCATTTATATAATTTGGTAGATCTCATACCTATTCCTCAATGTTTATGGGGCAGGACTCCGGAACTGCGGCTGTTCAGTAGGAAAGACCAAAAGCAAATGGTAAACAAGAGAGAAGACACACACACACACACACACACACACACACACACACACACACATACAACAGTAGCAGTAACACCACCACCACCACCGCCGCCACCGCCACCACCAGCACGTCATGAAATGCTGGGACTGCGAGGCTGCCCAGAGAGACTTCCTAACTCTGAATTCACAGGGGTCCTTGCTACAAACTCCACCATTCCAGAAGCCTTAGCCAGGGCTGAAAATCGGTTCCTTGTGGAAGAGACTCAACCCTCAAATCTGAAGTCTGTTCCCTCTGGGTTCTTCCTTTTTTTTTTTTTTTTTTTAAGCAGAATGTAGTGAGGACAGGGGTTCAATTTCCTCTTTTATTAAGGAGGGGGGCAGAGTCTCACTCTGCTGCCCTGGGTAGGGTGCAATGGCTTCGTCGTAGCTCACTGCAACCTCCAACTCCTGGGCTCAAGTGATCCTCCTGCTTTGGCCTCCCAGAGTGCTAGGATTACAGGCTTGAGCCACTGTGCCTGTCCCTCCCTGGCTTCTTGGTACAGTCTGTGATGAGGGGAGATCTGCAGCAAGAATGAAGCCCCCTTTCTCCCTGAAAGGACTCTGAAGGGCCCACAGCAAAGCCCTGCGGCTGCTCTCCCTTCAGCCTCATTTAGACAGTGGTGACTGCAGGCAGTGAGCCTGGCATGCAGGGGAAGCTTCTGCAGCGAGTGCCACCATTTTGTCTGGCTGAATCCAGGACCCTCCGGCCAGAAAATGGAGCTCAGAGATTTAAAATCCTTGGAGGGAGATGGATAAAGGTGCTTTCCATTCAATTCCTGTTTTGAGGACTTAGAAATGGGAGAGTGAAGTGACCTCTAGAGGTAGATATTGGGAGCACATTTGGGGAAGTTTTGCCTCTTTCCTGCCTCTACTAAGCCATTAATTAAATTTAAGGACTAGTAATTCAGTTGTCTTTATAGAGTTTCTCTCCAGGGGAAAGAAAAACTTAATTCGAATTTTTCCTTAGTGTCCACGAAGTGCAAACTTTCCTAGCAGCATCTTGGTCTTGCGTTACAAGGCTCAAAGAGAGGTGGGAACTAAATTTCAGGCCTCTACAAGCATTTTTAGATTTAACTGGATATACCCATTCCTGTGCAATAATACAGTCATTTAAAAATTGTATTTGTATTTCCACTAAAAAGACCCAGATTATTTGCCTTTTTCCATCACGTACACTACTCAGAGCCTCTCACAGAACCATCACTCACTCTGATCACCATCCTGCCACTTGTGTAATTATCCACTGAATTCCTTGGTGTCACCTCTACTTAGAGTGGTCTCACCATTCTAATCTTACCGCTACATTTCCATCCACTGAGCTTTCCCCCTTCCAGAACCCTTCAGAAAAAATTTCAGAACACGCTTCCCCCCTGCAAGTGAAGAACCAGAAATCCCCCCTTGGTCTTGGTGCCCAGGAAGACTCAGAAGCTTCATAGGAGGGGGACTGGAATGACACAGGTGCTGCTAAGCCTCTCACAAGTGTGACTACAGTGGTGAGGATGAGAACTGCCATGGTTCTCAATCCTCGCCACCAGCTGGGTCTCCTGGTAGAGCACATGGAGCAGCCTGTGCTCTCCCTTTGTGGGCTCTGCTTCTCATCGGCCCTCCGTGGAGTGACACCGACTTGAAGAGAGAAACGGACTCAAGCAGAGACCAGGTGCGTGTGCAGCTGTCCCGATGGAGAGAGGAGTGGGGAGCCACGGCAGCCTGTGGGCATCTCCACTGCAGGGTGGAAATCTGAACACAGATTTTGCTCAGTGAGAAGATACGCTTTCCCCTCTCTGGTAAAGGGGGAACCAGAGGTCTTGGGACCTCTAGTGAGGATACAATGGACACTTAACGTGCTTATACCTGAGTCCCTCCCTGTCCCGACAGCTGCCATAGCATTTGATTGCATGTCTGGCCCAAACGTGAACCCAGTATCATCTCAAAACAGCTGGCTCCAGAAATCACCATAATGAATGAACCCCAAGGCTGCTTTCTTCCAATTCCCCTCCCACGGTCCCCTAAGTGGAATAAATACCAACAAGAAGGTTGGCCAGAGGGAGTTAGGAAGAGGAGGAAGTAGAAGGAATAAGCTCAGTTTCTACCAGCACTGTTGGCTAAAATAATTCCCAGCAGCTCCCTCTGCCAAAAACTAGGGGTGAGTTGGGGAGTCCCTTGAGGGAGGCAGAGACCTAGATTTCCCTCCTGGAGCCCAGGGAGAGGATAGCCAGTGTAGAGCTGCCACAGACACAGGGCAGAGCTAGGGCAGAGATACTCTCTTTACCCAACTATTGACCAAGGATGCCAGTCAAAGGCAAATCCTTCCCATCATCCTTGCCACAGAAACATCCCCATTTTTGTTGAACAGAAATTAATATAGTCTCATCTCATGAATATTTTCTTAGAAAATCTTAGTATGTTGAATACAGGACCTTGCCCCTTCTAAAGGAAAACCTTGCTTTCAGCCCTAAGCAAGAGCCTCCCAGGTGTGTGCACGCCCAGCAAGCTTGGTGTCGGGCTAAGCAGAGGCAGGGAGGACAGTGCTGGCACAGAGTGAACATGAACTTTCATACTAAGTCTAGATAACAGAAATGAGCTTAAAAAAATAAACAAATCAGACAGACAGATTTACATTTGACAAAATGACGTGAAACACAAACGGACAGACAGAAGCAAGGTCAGGAGTGGCAAGGCAGGGAGTGATGTGGACCCTGGGCCCAGCAGCTCCAGTCCAGGCCTAAATGGCAGGAGGCTGGCCACATGGTCCATGCTCCCTCCTCCATGCTCAGGCAGGGACAGGGTCTTTCCTAGGCCTGTGCAGGAGAAGCAGGTGAACTGATACTTCTTCCTTTGGCCTCACTGAAGATTAAGAGACCTGGGCAGTATCTTCAGGACAAACTGAAGAGAAAATAACTTAGGAGCCCTTTGAAAGGCTGGAGAAAGTGTCTCCTGAGAACTCCAGCTTCCCCTGCCACAAGCTTGTGTGGGGCTAGAGCGTGCTGGGGCCGTGTCTTGCACAGGCGGATGGAGAGTGGCAACCACCGGAGGTCATGTGGCTCCAACACCTCCAGCCACGTCGCTGAGCGAGTAAAGCACTGGACCCATGATGTGGCTGTTCTGAAGCTGACGTCAATCTTCATTCAGGGAATGTTTAAGAGGATTACAGTCAGTACAGTGTGAAGGACAATCTCTGCAGTGAAACTAGGAGGGGACATTTGACTGAGTCCACTTGGGCAAGACTTGGCTTTTAGAAAAGTGGTTCTTGGAGTCCTTGAATGAGCACATGGAGTAGGAGGAGGTCAGTGCTCAAAGTGTGATTAACATGGCTCCTTTATAAGGAATTCTCCTAGATTCAGTTTAGTATCACGAGAAGGAACAAGAGGCACACTGACAACCTGATCAAATTTAAAGTTGGGACTCCGGGGAGCAGTCACCCTCGACCCCAGACCTCTCCATTGGGATCCAAATCTAGCACGTACAATGCACATGGTAACCCAAAGCTCACTGATCACAGAGCCCTTTCCTCGCCTATAAAATGCTGGCTTTCATATTCCTCTCTGATCCTAACTGAAACACGTTTTTTCTAAGGAGCTATGGCGTCATTTTTAAAGAGCTCAGGCCATCTTTCCAAGACTTTCGTATAGAGGTGGTGTTTTATCTGCTCAAACTTCCTGTTGATAAAAACAAGACCAGGCACCTGATATGGTATCGGCAAGATTGTCATGGCGGGGGTTCAAGATCAGGCCAAATCATAAGGAGAGCAAGTTTTGCTACTTTCTTCCTACCCTAATATTCTCACTCAGAGCAGGGGTTGCTCTCTGCAAAAAAATCAAGGACTCTCCCCAGACCTTCTCACTTCCTTTCAGCAACTGGTCTCCAGCACTTAGCACACCTCGGACTTTTTGGCAAGAACTGCAGGGCAGGAGATGGGTGTATCAGGGTAAGAGCAGGGGTAAGAGCAGAGGGATTGTCTCCCACCAAGTTCATGTTCAGCAGACTGCCACTCACCGGGTAAGCAGACCTCAGAGCACAGCTTATTGTCCAGTGCTTTCACGCTTGCGATGTCAAAGTCATTGTTATTGTCACACTCCATACCTAGAAATGCGCATGTCCTTTGGCCTGTAACGGAGTTAATGCAGTTAGAGAGGGACTGGCTGTGTTTTAATCGCTTTGCTGTCCTTAAAATAAAAGTCTTAAGGATGGAGACAAAAAAAAAAAATCAAATCATATGTTAAAATAAAAAAGACAGTAATTAAGTGGGTAAAGAGTGGACAAAAAAAGGAGTCAAATTGTGTGGGCATGTCTGTGTTCTCAAGCTCTCCTGTTCTGTTTCTCTAACTGGCACCTTTTGATCTGCTGTCCCCTAACAAGTCAGATCACCGAGGACGCTGCAGGACACAGGCTCCACTGAGAACCCCGCAGAGAGCAGCGCTGGGCAGAGGCCAGGCTGGCACCAGCTGGAGAAGGCCAGGGAGGAGTCACCCTGCTCATGCCTGTGTCTGCCTCGGGCGGGTGTGTTTAAGACCACAAGTCTCTGCAAGGTAAGTACATAAAATAACAACTAAAGGTCTTAGGTTCCATAATTTTGCATATCAGTCAGAATGGCCACATTTGCAAAATTATGACTTGATTTCCTTTGAGACCTGAGTTGTTATTTTGAGTAAGTTTTAAGTGACTGACCAGAAATCTACAGACATGTAAGATGGGAAGGGAAAAGTTTTAGAAGTGATTTTGTCAAGTTCTCCTCTTTTTTTCTTGGTGAAAAGGAGAGAAGAAAACATAAATCCACCACGTGGGCTAGGGAACAGCAGGTGACACTCCTGGCCACACGGAACTTTTAGAAGCAAATGTGTTATGGGGGAAACAATCGCAGAGGGTAACTCTGGAGCCTTGAGCACGGAAACCATCGGCCGAGTCCGTGAAACTCCAAACCCTCCGGGCTGGTGCGTGGGAGCTGAGGAGCCCACCCCTGGCGGCCACCTCTCCTCAGGCTCCTTGGCCAGGCGGGAGCCGTCAAGCCCGCATGCACCTCCCAAGCAATGGCCAGCGCTAAAGCAGAAGCAACTTGGATGACGACTGCTGGCACATCTGCGTCCAGGCCGGGCACACGTGTGCTCTGGAGGTGCCCCTGCGGGAGGCGCCTCAGAGCAGCAGAGGAAAGAGTCAGCTGCCAGGAACACGTGTTGTTCCCTGCGCAGGGTGACTCTCCTGCCCCCCTTCTTCCTCCTGCTTCCCTGCTCTGCAGACCACTCCTTCTCTCCTAGCCCGACTGGAAATAAAATTCTTCAGCTGAAGGTATAGCTGAGGCCTGAATACGGTAAAGAAAACCATCATGTAGCCTACAAAACACTGGCGTAAGCTGAGCTGCTAAAGAAACTTGGATCTAGTTCCTTTGCCGTGCCTGCTGGCTCCCAAGAGCCCCCTTTTACAGGAATGTTGACCAATTTCCTCATTAGAGCAAAACCTGACCTGCTGCCAAATGGTCCTTCCTCCCCAGTGAAGACACTGCCACGGCTGCTCAACATCTGAGCCGCCGCGGCAGCTCTGAGGGACTCGGGTAGGAACCTGCAGCAGGAGGCTGGCGATGGGACTGCCCAGAAGGCTTCAGAGCCCACTCAAGGTAAACCCAGAGCTACATGTGTCTTCTGCAGCATCCTCACCCTGATGTCCTTAGCTCTGAGTCCCAGAAAGAGCTGGGGAGGTCACTGAGGTCATCAGTAGCCTGCCTGCTTTGCTATGCCATCAAGAAGTCAACCTGTCTCCCAACTGCCACACAACTGGGCAGTGCCACCGACTCATACAGGCACCTCCCTCTCTACCTTTTAAAGAACACCCAGGAAAGAAACATAATAAAAGGGAGCAAAGGACCAGGTCTTTTACCATCTTCTTGTGTGGGCGATCCATCCTCTTCCTCTATAACATCATTTCCCTAGGACAGAAGGAAGGCCCCATGAGTCTATCCAGCAGCAAAATCGGTAAATCGATCGGCTAAAACAGAACTAATCATCTTAATGGTATTGAACTCCAGGGCCTACGTCAATAGCACACATTTCCCACCGTGTTTGACATGCCCAGGAGACAGAGCAGAGGCAGATGGGCAGCCCACAGGGATGAAGTCTGAGCCACGTACCAATATGCAGTCTGTCAGGGACACCCTTGTTAATAACTTAGCTGATATGGTTTCTCTAAGGCCAAGATAAAAGTTATTAAGTAAAAAAGCAAATCTTGAGATCAAAAGACTTTCAGAAATCCCTTAGGGTCCCAAACTCTATCCAGATACTACTTTGAGAGCATCTGGTCCAAGAAAAGTTCTAGAGCCCTTGCTGTGAGCTGGCACTCCCCGACGCTCCACAGATACCGCAGTCAGGGCACTTCTCACATGAACCGCAGTCCTGCCTGCCTGCTGGATGGGGCTCCTGTTTAGGCAAAGTGGGTGGGGTCAGGCAGAAACCTCGTACTCAGCTCTGTCTGGGCCCCAGAGCCAGGGAGCAGCTGGGACACAGTCCCCCTGTGTAAATACTCACTAGATGGATGAAGGATAACACATTCTCAAGGTCCAGGGTCTGACAGGAAAAGTCCCCCCCCTGAACCCACTCCACACCCACCGCACTGAAGCCCGTGCCTCTGCTCACTGGACGTCCACAGGCCAGCGTGCGGCTGCTCTTATCTCTACCCGCTGTCCACCTCTAACCGATCCAGGCCCGCTACCCAGGAAGGCTCCTTCAGCACGGCCTCCACCCTGTCCTAATGGGCATCCCCAGCCAAGGCCAGCGGTTGCTCTGGCTGCCGTCAGGGTTACCTCTGCGTCCTGCTCTCCGGCTGGCAGGCCAGCAAAGTTGCTATCTGGAGACTCTGCTGGCAGCCCCTGCAAAAGAGCAACAGAGTCCAAGGGTGCAGTTGTCACAGACTCTCCTGTCAAGCTTTCAACAACAGCAAACCCAAACCCACGTCTTCTTCAGTACAAAACTGGGGAGGAATAGAAGAGTCCCATCCAAGGGACAGCCTTGTTTTGCACAGGACTCCTTCCAGCACCCTGGCTATGCAGCCCAGCCCGGCAGACCTTGGATGAGGCCACTTTGGTCATGCGCACAAGGCACAGAGAAGCCAGGGCGGTCCCCGTGCCCTTCCCTTACCTCTCCTTCTTCTGAGGGGGCCCGGCTGGCAGCTGGGGGGGAAGGGAGAGCGTCTCCCTCCTCTTCAGTGCCGGGGGCAATGTAGGAGCCGGACATGGAGGAGACGGTGTCGGTGCTGATCTGGGAGGACGCCATGGACATGACAGACTGGGCCAGACTGCTGCTGGCAGGGCCTTTGGAGACAGGGGTGGAGGAAGGAGCCTGGAGGTCAGGCAGAGCTTCTGCACGGTTCCTGGGGAGCAGAGCTCTCGCCCTGCGCTCAGGCAGTGAGAAGTACATCTTGCCCTCCCCTAAAAAAGGTTTTAGGTTTGAGGTTTTCCACGATTCTCCTCCTTTATATTTTAGAGCTCAGAACTCAACCTCAGGGACCAGGGATTTGCTTTCCCCTGTCATAATGACATAATGACAGGGCTGGGACTAAGAGAACCAGTTCTCCCTTAGCGACAGGCAAGCTCTGTCCCATCCTTCCGCTGTTGTAGGAGCAAGGCCCCTTCCCTCTCAAGCTGGGCCTATGTGGTCATGCACCTCAGACACTAGCTTGCTGCACCCAAGTCCATTCCCAGAGGAAATGCCAGGACAGCTGTGGACGTGGTTAAGGGGAAAGGACAGGCAGCCACTCCCTGCTCCCTCATGTACCTTCTGGGGAGGAGATTGTGGATGAGAGGGGCGTCCCCGTGCAAGATGACTGGTCAATAGCTCCCGATGACGACAAGGTGAGATTCTCACTTTCTGGAGTCACACCACATTCCTGGGGGGTGTGGGGGACACAAGGGGACAAGGAGTAAGCACAAGCCAACCATGCTGGAAGAAAGGGGTTAGGGCGGACGGGTGGTTCTGGGTAGGGATGAGAGGAAAGGGGACACTGGGAGGGACTATGTGGCATGCAGAGGCTGCGGCTTCTCTTCTGTCCTCACTTCTTAGCCCAGGCCTGGAACGACTGTCTCCCAGGGGAGGCACTAACTTCAGTCAGCACCTCCTGCCTGAGGCACAGCATCTGCCGGGGCTGTACAAAGACTGCAGCTCAGGTGACACAGGTCACCCAGCAGCTGTGACATGGGGACACCCCAGGTTTCCCCAGGATTATGATCAGCTTTCCTTCTGAGGGAAAAGAATACAAAACCAGCAGAGGCCTCACTGCCTGTGGGAACTCTCCACGTGGACGCCAAGTTAGTTCCAGCTCCATCATCTATTAATAAAACAAACTCTGCCTCGGCTCCCGCCTGCTGCTCCTCCCACGCCCCACCTCTGCTCCCGACCCCTACTGCCAGGCTCCTGGGCACACAGCCTCACCCACCCGGCAGATGCAAAGCTCCATGGCTGTATCTCCATAATCCTCCTCCTTCCCGGAGGCCCTCTTTTAGCTAGTTTAGGCATTCCCTCCTGCCTGGGTTACTGAAGCCATTTGCTAGCTGGCCTGTCTCCTGTCTAGTCCGGGCCACACTGCTCTCAGGGGGCCTCGGGAAGCAGAGCCCCCACTGTGTCCCTGGCCTGCTCCAAGCCCGACTTCCCGCCTGGCCTTGGGTGCACTGTCCCTGCCACCTGGATGTTTCTCTCACTTTTCTCTTCATGTCTAAAAAATTTCAAGATTCAGCTCAAATGCTACTCCTTATAACACTTTTTCTGATTTCCTCCACTTACAATAATCTTGTCCACAGCACTTTATTGCCCTTGTTTTGGGCACACTTCTTTCTATACTTAAAATGCATTCATTCCTCCATTTAACAAAGCAACAGCGACATGCCAGGTATGGCGTTGCTCTTCATGCACCTTTTCTGTCCCAGCTAGACCTGAGCTCCTAAGGGTAGGGACCACTTTATTAGCGTCCTATGCACCGCTGTGCCTAGCTCCTGCCCTATAGTGAGTAATAAACCTCTGTTAAGTAAAGTATGTGAGGGTAGAAAATTCCAGTCTCCTTCCACTCCACCACACTGGCGTCCCAGCACCTCCCCCAGGGCTTCCACTCACTGTTCGCAGGCCCGGAGCCTCTCTGCTCACGTGTCTGTACAGCTCGCCCTCTCACCGCCCTCGGTCTCTGCTCCTGTACCAGTTTTTTTTTTTGTTTTTTTTTTTTGAGACAGAGTCTCACTCTCTTGCCTGGGCTAGAGTGCTGTGGCGTCAGCCTTGCTCACAGCAACCTCAAACTCCTGGGCTTAGGCGATCCTCCTGCCTCAGCCTCCCAGGTATCTGGGACTACAGGCACGTGCCACTGTGCCCAGCTAATTTTTTTTTCTATTTTTAGATTTTTTGGCTAATTTCTTTCTATTTATAGTAGAGACGGGGTTTTGTTCTTACTCAGGCTGGTCTCAGACTCCTGAGCTCAAGCAATCCTCCTGCCTCGGGCTCCCAGAGTGCTAGGATTACAGGCGTGAGCCACGGTGGCCAGCCCTGCACCAGTTTTTAAAAATGGCACCCCCACTTCTAGCCTCCACACTCCCTTCCCCTATTCTGCTGCACAGCACCATCCGACACACGTACATTTTTTTACTTATTGTCTTTTGCGTCCACCCCCACCCCTATAGTGAGCATACAAGCTCCACGAGGGCAGGGACTTTCGTAGCTTCCTACTGCTACTATTCTCAGCATATGGAACAGTGCCTGGGAAATAATACAGGCTCCAAACAGTGATGAATAAATGAATCTAAGGAAACCTTTGCCGCTACCTCAGAGGATGTTGCAAAGGTGTTTGGTGAATGAATGGAAGCAGAGGGACCTGGAGAGCCATAAAGGTAGGAGGACAGTTCCTGGAGTCCAACGCCCATGAAAGGAGAGGGACATAAATTACCTCTCCGAGATGCTGGGCTGACGGTCTCTGAGAAAGCTGTGTTTCTGACTCACTGCAGGAACGCTCGTCCTCCTCTTCATGTAACACAGAAGAATTTTGGGAAACGGATCTGTAAAAGTCCAGAGGAAAAAGCAGCTACATCCAATGTCCATTTAAAGAACAGAACTTACCCTGCACTCTTGCTAACCAGACCTCACAGGAAGAGGACAACTGCTGTAAAGAGGAAGCTGAAGGGGAAACCTAGATCCTTTTGGTTTGTTTGTTTGTTTGTTTTTGAGATGGGGTCTTGCTATGTTGCCCAGGCTGAACTCAAACTCCTGGACTCAAATGATCTTCCTGCTTCAGCCTCCTGAGTGGCTGGCTCTAGAGGCTACTCCCCTGGCTGGAAGGACTGGAGAGTGGGAAACAGCACGAGGGAGGGGCTGAGACTTCTGCTGGGCGTCAGAAACTCTTTAAGTTTTACCCTTAGCTCCTTCAATGAATTGCTGTGTGAACTTGGGAAAAACCACTGACATTTTTAGGGTCTCAATATTTACATCTGTAAAATACCCTCCTTTATTCCACCACAGAAGCCTTATCATGATTTGTGCCTTGTTGGACTTAAGTGTTTAAGAGGTACGGATCACCAGGTTTCTCAGTCTTTGGACTCCACAATGCTCCCAGGGGCCTGAATGACCCTGTGCAAGTGCTCGATGTCCTCTTCCCTGTACCTTTGTCCCTTTCTCGTGAAAAAAAGAACACATGAGAGGTTTGTCTAAGCCAAATTCTCCTAAGTACCTACATATTATCTTATTTTCATCTCTTAAGGATGGGATAACCTTCTGGCCAAGCAGCCGTGGGAACGGCTCAGAGGGTCTACTCTGCCCTGGGGTCCCAGGATGTGAGTCCAGGGAGGGGTAAGACGGGTGGAAAGTGTCTCATCACGGATCCTGGGAGTGATGTGGTTGAGTGCTGGCTACTCACTTGGAGAGACTCTTTTTGAGCTTGAGTCCTTGGCTGCTGCAGTCAGACAGGCGGTCAAGTGGGGAGAGCGCCCTGGCAGGGGGCAGGTGGCCATCGCTGCCATACGATGGCAGCATTCCTGAGAGGTGGCCATCTCCAAGCACATGAAGTGGAGGAACTGCTGGGGACGGGGTGAGGGGCCCATTGAGGGCCTCCAGAAGAGACACCACTTCATATCCTGGTGGGATATTCTCTGAGGACTAGGGGAATCAGAGACAGATTAAAAATTAATGAAGTCCTTTTTGTTTTATGGCATGATTATGATCCCGACTCTGCAATGAAAAAGTATTTTCTTTTACATCTGGTCTGGGGGGGTCTGGGAAGAAAAGCTTCTTTGTGATGTTTATGCAATTATGATCAATCTATAAATAATCATTTTATATCCTGCTTATTTCACTGAACATAAGATTCTTCTTTTTTTAAAATTAGAGACAGGGTCTTGCTATGTTGCCCAGGCTGGTCTCAAACTTCTGGCCTCAAGTGATCCTGCTCTGACCTCTCAACATTCTGGGATTACAGGCGTGAGTCACCGAGCACAACCTATCTTTTTGAAACCATTCCCTTTTCATAGGTTCCATATGTTTCCTAACTATTCTACTAGTGTTGGGTATTTAGTTGTGTCCAACATGTCCTATTGTAAACATGTTTGAAAGAATATCCTTGTATATAAGTCTTATTTCAGATTATTTTCTTGTCATTAAAGTCTTAGACCTTAGATTAGGAGGCATAAATGTTTTTAAAGGCTCTTGATATATATATATCAGTTCTGTCTTGTTTTCAATGCCTTTTCTGTTTATACTCAACAAGCAATACAGAATACTCATTTGGATTGTTTCCCTGCCAGCACAAAGAATCTTTAACAAGGAAAGGTGAAAAATGGTATCACATTTTAATTTGCATATCACTGATTTTTAATGTGGCTGAATGTTTAGAAAATGATTAACCGGCTATGTTTCCTCTTTTGAGAATTTTTTGGTTATATTCTTTGCCCATTTATCTACTGTTTTATTCAATATGATCTATGGCAAAGATATTAGTCTATCTTCTGATACATATGTTGTAAATAACTTTTTTTTTTTAAAGAGACAGTCTTTCAATCTGTTACCCAGGCTGGAGTGCAGTGATGCCATCATAGCTCACTGCAGCCTTGAACTCCTGGGCTTAGGTGATCCTCCCACCTCAGCATCCAGAGTAGCTTGGACTACAGGCCCACACCACCATGCCCAGCTCATTTTTAAATTTTTCATAGAAACAAGGTTTCACGATATTGCCCAGGCTGGTCTTGAACTCCTGGCCTCAAGCAATGCTCCTGCCTTAGACTCTGGAACTGCTGGGATTATAGGTGTGAACCACCATGTCTGGCCTAAGTAGTTTTCTTTAAAAAATAAAAGCAATTTTTTGTTTTCATTTTAATATTGGTCACCTTTTAAGACTTCCGAAGTGTTAAACTTTTTACATAGTAAAATCTAGAGATTCTTTTTTTTTTTTGTAGTTTTTCATTGCTTTTAAGCGTAGAGTCCTCGCCTATCTAAAGTCAACTAAATAATCATCTATAACTTATTCTAAATTTTAATGTTTGGTTTCCTGTGCTTTTAATATAGTTAATTAGTTACTCCAGCTGGAATTTATTTGTTATCTGGTAAGGAGTAAAATGCTAAAGTGATTTTCCTTCCTAAATAGCTAACTAATTATCCAAATACCATTCACTGAATAATAATCTCTCCCACTGGTGGTTTAATCTAAAGAACGACAGTATCTGCTATTCTGTAACTGCAAAGCTTTGAGGTTTCACCCTAACACTAACACTTCCACTATGAAACTGAGGTCAATTATTTTGTGTACTCGGCTCCCAGTCATGGAAGCCATGAAATGTAATAAAGGAGAGCAGTTACTTTCTTGAAGGATTCAGATAAAGATAGGAAACTGTACTCAAATAAAAAACAACCATCTGCTTGTTTCTGCTTGGGGGAGTTCGAGGTGGGCCCCACTGGAGTGAAACTGCAGGCAGATGGCTCCGGGAAGGGTAAATATTAACTGGACATCATGTTCCCGAGGCAGAAAAGGGAGGTTTTAATGACCTGCATTCAAGTTTCCATTGTAATATTGGCTGGTTTTAACAGAACGTGACTTCAGCCAGCCTACTAAAGACTTCAGCGTGCCAAGGTTTAATTCCCTGCTGCACTGCCACGTAAAGAAGGACAAAAGGTAAAAAGGAGCCAGCAAGGACCCTCCAGATCATTTGCTTCAGAGGGGCTGCGGGTCCAAGCGCAACTTACTGAATGCTCCTCAGAGTCAGATGTCTGGGATGAGATGATAGGGTTAAAGCTGGTTGGGGATAAGGGGCCCAATTTTTTCCTCATGGCTCGGATCTGCAGCAGTGCTCGGAAGGCTATGAGGAGGAAAACAGGCGGTCAGGACATCCTGCTGCAGGATTAAGGATGAACAAGAGCCCAGACAGAACCGCGATCCCTCCCAGCGCTCACATGCTTGCCAGCCCCAGTAGCGGCCGGCACGTGCTTCGGGGTTTTGTAAGTGTCCCCTGTCCTCACTCCCGCCCTCCAGTGCCCCTGCTGCTCTGGGGCTTACGCAGTCGGCAGATGGGGCAGTTGTTGGCCTGGTAGCGCAGGGTGTCTGCGCAGGTGTTACAGAGGCAGAGGTGGCGACAGGGCAGAATCAAGGTGTCCCGGACGTCCGAGAGACACACCACACACTCGGCACTGTTGTCGCTCACTTCGTCCTCAGCCACCTGGCCGGGGAGACAGAAATTTAGCCAAAGACACACAAAGCCCTTCGTGTCCCACACTCTGTTTACCAGGCAGCTTGGCTGAAGAGCTGAGGAGACAATAAGGACGAAATCTATACTGACATTGGACTTTGTAGTTTACCCAATGTTTTCACCTACTTAGTCTCACTGCTTCTGGGAAGAGTTTTTCTAAAGTTGAGAGGATGGGACTAAGAACTCAAGTTCCTCTTATGAGGCTCAGACCTGGTCCCCTCTGGCAGCATGAACTGAAGTGACCTAGGAGGCCACACGGATACAGGAGAAACGGCAAGGAGAGGACCCTGGTAGGAAACCCAGTTGAACACAGCTCCACTGCACAAGATAAATCCAACCAGCCTATTTCCTCATTTCCAAAGGGATAGCAGCATAATAATCTGAAATGAGGAAAAATATCCTTCTGGGACCTAACTGATTTCAGAGTTTGGCTCATTAAATTCCTAGATCCTGGCTTTATCAGAGGATTTCTCTCTCTGCCTCCTGGGAAGAGTACATTCAGAATTTTAGATAAAACTTGCCTTAGAATCTTGTGTGTTGTACTTGTTTTCAATTCCGTAGATCTCCTGAAGGAGGTAGCTGACCCCATCTACCTGAACAGCAAACAGAAAAGTTCAAGGACAGCCTGACTCTACTGAGAGACAGGAGCAGGACCCCCCACCCCCGACTCCTTTGGTAACCAAGGACTACTGATTCACAATGAAAAAAATCAAAGGCCTAGACAAGTAAAGGATGCTTTTATTTACTTATGTTTTTTCTTTGAGAGGGGAAAGAAAATCAAATGTTTAATTCACCCACCATGTTATACAATAGGGAACATAAACTTTCACAAATGCAACAATAATACTTGTACTGCACCTTCTGGGTGCAGTATTCTGGGTAAAGGCATAGACTAGAAAAAGGATGGAAGAATATGTATCAAAACATAAGTATCGGCTATGTAATAAAATTTAAGTTCAGCCATTATAGAAATAAAGGAATGGAAAAAAAAAACAAATAAAGAGAAGAAGAAATGGGCAAGGAAAGGGGGAGAATTGTGGACGTAAAGGGAGACAGCAAGACCTTGACGGAGAGGCTGATCGTGTGCACCCCGTGAAGCCACTCCATCCCCAACGTGCAGCAAAATTGCCCCTCTTGGCCCTGTTCCTTAAAACCCCAAGTGCCAAAGCCCATCCCACTCCCACTAGCCTGAGCCACGTCAGGGCTTAAGGTGGCCCTGCCCTTGTTTCCTTTTAGGAGCCCACTCCTCTCTTCTGCCTCGCCTCTGTTCCCAGCGATCCTTTCTGTCTCTGATTTTATATCCCACTCTCCAGTTTGACAGTCTATTGCTAATGCCAATCTAGCAACAGAAAAATAGATGAAACATTTTCTTTTAGCTACACTAGGCTCTCCATCCTACCCAGGCCTTCTGGAGAACTAGTCATCCCCCATGAGGCAACTCACCAAGGCCTGGCCTGCCCAGGTAGTACCCTGGGCTCAGGATCTGTTTCCTCCTCTGCTTCTCTTAAAACTTGTTTTCACCTAGTGATTATATTGGAAAGGACATTATCGACTAATTTATACTAAGATATTAATGACTACTAGTGACCTCATTAAAAGAGGGGTGAGTACTAAACCCAAAAGAATGAATAATGTAAATTTGCAGATATTTATCACCCATCTAGAAGGGGGGCCTTTCTTTGCATTTCAACAAAAGCCAACCCTGCCTCCCACCCAATTACTCCACACCCTCCATGAGATGAATTACCCCTCACCCACCCTCTCTTGCCACTGCCACTGGCCCCACTCTTTCTGATATCTCTTTCTGTCTCTGTAAGAGTGAAAAGAAAACTGCTGGCACATGGCGGGGGTTGGAACTTCTAGCAGACATACACATAAGGTGCTGATCATTCTGGAAGGGGGAGGATGGCCAGCAAATCTGAATTTTCACATCATTTTAGAAAAGGAATGGTGCAAAAAATTAAGCCAAGGGCTCTAATTACCCTGAGTTGGACCTCAATACTTTATCCTTTTGCTTGAAATGTTTCTTGGCCTGGCATTTTAAATAAAAAGAGTTCTCCCTAAACCCAATGTCAGAAGCTAAATCTTATCCTTTCACTTCACAAGTCCTTTGCTCAAATAACAGCTGCCTCAACACCAACAATACTGGAAGAATAGACGCCAAAAATCAGTACTCCTTTCAGCCACCCACGTAGTTTGTAATAGTTTCTAACACTCAAAAGCATTCCCTTTTTTCTTTTCTTCTTTGTTTTTTAAAAAAGAAAGGGGCAGAGGAAAAGAAGAGATTTAGCAAAAGAGTTTTTAAAAAAGAAGAAAAAGAAGAGGGAGTGAGAGAGAGAGAGAGGGAGAGAGAAAGAGGAAGGGGAAGGGAGGCGAAGGAAAGGGAGGAGAGAAGGAAGAAGAGCAGGAAGGAGGGAGGAAGGAAGACACTAACAGTCTAACAGTTTGCAGTCCTCAAATACTTACTACTTGTTTCTGTTTGAGGGGCTTGACACAGAAAGTTCCGTCTGTGTGCTAGAATGAAAATACAATAGCTATGACAAGGAAGGAGGGTAATAAAGTACCAAGTATCCTTTTGTTACTTCCCTCAATTACAGCAGTCTCCCCCAGCTACAGTCTGGCTTCCCACAGTTTCAGTTACCCACAGTCCAAAAATATTGCATACAATAAGATATTTGAAGACACAGAGAGAGGCTACATTCCCATAACTTTTATTATAGTATATTGTTATAATTGTTCTAGTTTATTATTATTGTTGTTAATCTCTTACTGTGCCTAATTTATAAATTAAACTTTATCATAGGTGTGCATGTAGTATAGGAAAAACCATAGTCTACACAGAGTTACACACTATCCACTGGGGTCTTGGAACATATTCCCCACGGATAAGGGGGACTACAGTCTACTGTTTTTAGATTCTCACAGCGTGGAACTAAAGAATTCTAATTTTTATAATTATCAAGTTATCCAGTCCGACTCTTTCATTTTAAGGAGAAGAGACCAAGGCCTAAGCTGTCAAAGGTCATGCAGCAAGTTGGTGGCAGAGCTGGACTGAGACCCAAGCGTAGCCCCCAGTGTGACTGTGACGCTCTTTCAACCCCACCCCAGCCGCTCAGGCCAGCCCATTCTGCTGAGCTCAGGCAGCCAGCAAGCCCTGGTCACGTGTGTCCCCACGTGAATGAAAGCACTAAACATGACAAAGCAAGGCCCTCTAAGGTTACTTACCTTTTCAAAAGTACCCAGCAGCACATGGCAATGGCCAAAATATTCTGAAAGAGACAAAGGCACACGGATGAAGAAAGCCAAACAACACACCTCCTGCCTTCCCACGGCCCCTGCGATCTGGCAAACCACAAACGTGCCCGACTGTCCCCAGAAGGGGCATGTTGTATAACCCACACTCTTCACATCGCCCAAGGAGCTTGAGATCACAGACGGGAGAGGACGCAGAAACTGCCCGACTGACCCACAAAGAAGGCGTGCTGTCCTGCGGTCACAGCTGCTGCCAGGGCTGTGCCACCAAAGGGCAGCGTGCACGGCTAAAGCAGACAAAATCTCCCTTACCATCTCCTTCATCCACCACGGCGTGCACCACTAGAGGGTAAACCTCTCGGTCCAGATCAAAGCCAAGCTAAAGGGGAAGAAAAGGAAAATAAAGAGGACTTCATCATACATTCAGATGGTACAGTTACCCGGGGAAAGGAAGTATGTCAAGGAGCACTGATCTTAGCTCTGCTCCTCGTTCACCGACCCAGGTCTGTTTAATTGAAGCCCATAAGCTTCTTTTAAAAAACCTCATAGATAGGCCGGGCGCGGTGGCTCACGCTTGTAATCCTAGCACTCTGGGAGGCCGAGGTGGGCGGATTGCTCAAGGTCAGGAGTTCAAAACCAGCCTGAGCGAGACCCCATCTCTACTAACCTACTATAAAAATGAAAGAAATTAATTGGCCAACTAATTATATATATATTATATATATAAATTACCGGCATGGTGGCACATGCCTGTAGTCCCAGTGACTCAGGAGGCTGAGGCAGAAGGATTGCTTGAGCCCAGGAGTTTGAGGTTGCTGTGAGCTAGGCTGATGCCATGGCATTCACTCTAGCCTAGGCAAGAAAGCGAGACTCTGTCTCAAAAAAAAAAACAAAAACAAAAAAAAACCTCTTAGATGTAAAGACCTCTAACCTTCAGGGTTTTTTATTTGAGCATGGCTGTCTCAAAGTATTCTAGGCTATTGGCTTATTTTGGAATAGAAAAATTAAAAGTAGGTATATCGAGGACGTAAAATAAGCAGAACTGTCAAAGATACGACAAGGTTACAAGGCTGAAAGGCGAGCATGCCTTTAGGCATCTGGCAGCCCCTTTGCTGCCAGCCCAGGTCCTAAACTAGCTCCTGGCCCTCCGGAGTCTATGTGAGGAGCCCTCACCAGAGGTCGCTCACCTCCTCCTCTGCCCATTCCGAGGGTCCACGTATGGGAGGGCAGGCAGAACTGCTGACACACCCCTCGCTTGTAGTGCACAGTCTCCGACTGAAGGCTGTTGTCTTTTGGAATGTAGCTATTGATACAAGAAGGGAGGCAAAACAAAAGTTAGTATCTACCCAGGCGATCTGACAATTTCCTCTGTCTCATGCCTGTTCTCAGTTATCAAACAAACAGGCTCTACTATGGAGAAGAAAAGCCCCCTTTGTAATCTGTTCCTTCACACTTGCTTGGTAATGTTATTAAATTTACCTATACACACGCACACTCCACAGAAAGGTAACTTGATTAATTTAACAGCATCTTAATAAGGACCTGAAGGCTAATCTGCCATCTGCCACTATTCTAAGGAGGGGACAATTTGAAGAGAAAAGGTGACAGAGTAGAGTTTAGTAGAAGAAAATCTAAATTCAGAACCAGCTCTCTCACTTGGTTGCAGAAATGAACGTTTCCTCCCTAGGTGAGCATATAAGACATGGACCCTCCCTGTCTGGAAGGAAGTGTTCTTACCTGGCAATACCATTCTGGAACTCTTCGGTGGCCTGATAATAGAGGGTGATGGCTACCCGAGCATCCGTGTCAAAGGTGAATTCAACATTGTAGTGGACTCTGGCTTTGCCGGCCTCTTCCCCAGGGCTCTTCACTTCCTCGGCGCATCTACAAAACCACAAAAGACTCAGCATTTGGGAGTAGCATATCAATATTTTAAAATTTATCTTTTTTGGCCGGCGGCGGTGGCTCATGCCTGTAATCCTAGCATTCTAGGAGGCCAAGGTGGGTGGATTGCTCGAGGTCAGGAGTTCGAAACCAGCCTGAGCAAGAGCGAGACCCCGTCTCTACTACAAATAGAAAGAAATTAATTGGCCAACTAATATATATATAAAAAAAAATTAGCCGGGCATGTGGCGCATGCCTGTAGTCCCAGCTACTTGGGAGCTGAGACAGGAGGATTGCTGAGTCCAGGAGATTGAGGTTGCTGTGAGCTAGGCTGACGCCACGGCACTCACTCTAGCCTGGGCAACAAAGTAAGACTCTGTCTCAAAAAAAAATAATAGAAAAGAAAAAAAAAGAAGTGATAGAACAATAAAAAAAAACTTTAAAAGAAAAAAAAAATTTATCTTTTTTTTTGAGACAGAGTCTCATTTGTTGCCAGCTAGAGTGAGTGCTGTGGTGTCACCTAGCTCACAGCAACCTCAAACTCGGGGCTAAAGCAAATCCTACTGCGCAGCCTCCCGAGTAGCTGGGACTACAGGCATGCCACCATGCCGGGTTATTTTTTCTATATAATATTTTTAGTTGCCAATTAATTTTTTCTATTCTTTAGTAGAAGATCGGGGTCTCGCTCTTGCTCAGGCTGTTTCGAAATCCTGACCTTGAGCGATCTGTCCCCTCCGGCCTCCCAGAGTGCTAGGATTACAGGTGAGCCACACGCGCCGCCTTCTCTCGTGCTTTTTGCTCCACTTTCTCAACTATTTCAACTTTTTCCTACCATCTATTAAATTTTTTATTTCTGCTACTAGGTCTTTAATTTCTAAGAGCCATTTTTTTGTGTTGTGTTTCTAAATACTTTGTGTCATTGTGTCCTGAATAAAAACGTATTTTCTCTAATGTCTCTAAGGCTTTATGAAGTTTTTTTCTTCTTGTATAGTTTTATATGTCCAATTAGTTTTTCCCCCCCTGTTGGTTTAGTTTACCACTGTCTTCTTATATTTTAGGCATTGCTTACACATCTAAGAATCTTTGCTTGTCTGCTCCTATTTAAGAAACTTAAGGCTGTTGATTAGAATCTGAGTGCACAGCAGGACTTTGCGACCCTGGGCCACCACTGTGGGCTGATCTGGTCTGCTGAGCGACTTCCAATTCCAGCCTTAGATTTCCTATCCAGATGTCCAAGTCCCAGAGAACAGTCTTCCTCTCTCTGGACAAAGGGCCTAGCTGCCAGCATTCCAGGGGCAGGGGAGGGAGGCAGGCTGGAGGGTATAGCATGGAGTATGCCAGAATTGACTTACTCCCCTGTTTTCAGTACTGAGTCTGGCTCTCAGCTGTGCCCCCAAGTCCAGGGATTCTCTCTTTTAACCTCCCTAGTGAGTCATAGGCCTGGCTGTGCCGGGGTGGGAAGGCAGTTCTGGCTGTGCCGTGCAAGCCAGGGATCCAACTGCCTCTTGGCAGCCTTTCCAGCAGTCTTCTTCATGTGGTCTCCCACCGTTGACTTCTAGAGCCACTTCTGGGGCCTTGGGGGACAGCATTGTGTAAACTGAGTGATTTTCAGCTCCTTTCTGCCTATGCAGGATGCTGAGTTCCTGGGACTAGCTAAACTCACCACATGTGTCTAGCTTCTAGAATTTTGCTGCTGTTGCTTCTTTCCATTCTCCAATTCTTGTGAATTCATACTTTTTTTTTTTTTTTTTGAGACAGAGTCTCACTTTGTTGCTCACAGGCTAGAGTGAGTGCCGTGGCATTAGCCTAGCTCACAGCAACCTCAAACTCCTGGCTCAAGTGATCCTACTGCCTCAGCCTCACCGAGTAGCCAGGGACTACAGGCATGCGCCACATGCCGGCTAATTTTGTTTTATATTATAATATTTTTAGTTGGTCAATGAATTTCTTTCTATTTTTTAGTAGAGACGGGTCTTGCTCAGGCTGGTTTCGAACTCCAACCTTGAGCAATCCTCCCGCCCCTCAGCCTCCCCAGGAGTGCTAGGATTACAGGCGTGAGCCACCATGCCCTGGCCAATTCATGCCTTTAAAAATACTTTTTTATATTAGTGGGTTTTTGAAAGGAAGTCAAAAAAGTAGATGTTCCTCCATCTTTACTTGCAAAATTTAGATTCAGAATTTCTGTATTCTCATAACTCAGAAAAACAAACAAAAATGCCTCTTCACCTACACATCTTGAATATGAGGTGTTTCTCCCTCTGTTATCTTGTTTACTTTGACCAACTTACCATGATGGAACGGTGAGTTATCACTAATTTTACACATAGAAAAATTGAAAGCTCAGAACCTTTTGGTGAGTATCCCACAGACACCTGAGAAGCAAATTGGTTTCTGCATTCCAAGTCTGGTTCTTCTGGCACATCCACGCCACTCACCCTATTAGACCTTGCCAGCTGCCATGGCAGGGCCCAGGACCTCACCAACAGCTTAGCTCAAACTGTCTTCATCCCCAAATTGTGAACAGCCCACTGTACAAAGAATCCCAAGTACAGAGGTTGACAGCTGCCCAGCTCCCTGGCCCTCTTAGGCTCAGTCTGCTCTGCTGCTTGGGGGTTCCCTAAGGGAGGAGTGACTGTTCTGCACAGAAAAAGTGTCTCCTTGCTCCTCCTCCCCAGAGTGACTGGCAGGTGGGAAAGAAGTCTAGCTGGGAACCAGTAGCAAACTTCAGAGACAAATAAAATATTATGAGAGAGGAGAGAGAGAAGCGCAGAAGAACACGAAATAGATTAGTGGTTACTTAGGGCTAAGGTGGGAAATGAGGATATTACTTAATGGGTATGGTTTTCTTTGGGTGAGAAGATGTCCTAAATTAGATAGTGGTAATGACCATGACTCTGGTGTAATACCTAAAACCCACTGAATTGTACACTTTAAATGGATAGATGAAAAGATCCTAACCTTAGGTTTTTATTTGAGCATGGCTGTCTCAAAGTATTCTAGCTATTGGCTTATTTTGGAATAGAAAAATTAAAAGTAGGTATATCGAGGACGTAAAATAAGCAGAACTGTCAAAGATACGACAAGGTTACAAGGCTGAAAGGCGAGCATGGCCTTTTAGGCATCTGGCAGCCCCTTTGCTGCCAGCCCAGGTCCTAACTAGCTCCCTGGCCCTCCGGAGTCTATGTGAGGAGCCCTCACCAGAGGTCGCTCACCTCCTCCTCTGCCCATTCCGAGGGGTCCACGGTATGGGAGGGCAGGCAGAACTGCTGACACACCCCTCGCTTGTAGTGCACAGTCTCCGACTGAAGGCTGTTGTCTTTTGGAATGTAGCTATTGATACAAAGAGGGAGGCAAAACAAAAGTTAGTATCTAGCCCAGGCGGATCTGACAATTTTCCTCTGTCTCATGCCTGTTCTCAGTTATCAACAAACAGGCTCTCTATGGAGAAGAAAAGCCCCCTTTGTAATCTGTTCCTTCACCACTTGCTTGGTAATGTTATTAAATTTACCTATACAACGCACACATCCACAGAAAGGTAGACTTGATTAATTTTAACAGCATCTTAATAAGGACCTGAAGGCTAATCCTGCCATCTGCACTATTCTGAAGGGGACAATTTGAAGAGAAAGGTGACAGAGTAGAGTTTAGTAGAAGAAAATCTAAATTCAGAACCAGCTCCTCACTTGGTTGCAGAAATGAACGTTTCCTCCCTAGCGTGAGCATATAAGACATGGACCCTCCCTGTCTGGAAGGAAGTGTTCTTACCTGGCAATACCATTCTGGAACTCTTCGGTGGCCTGATAATAGAGGGTGATGGCTACCCGAGCATCCGTGTCAAAGGTGAATTCAACATTGTAGTGGATCTGGCTTTGCCGGCCTCTTCCCCAGGGCTCTTCACTTCCTCGGCGCATCTACAAAACCACAAAAGACTCAGCATTTGGGGAGTAGCATATCAATATTTTAAAATTTTATCTTTTTTGGCCGGCGCGGTGGCTCATGCCTGTAATCCTAGCATTCTAGGAGGCCAAGGTGGGTGGATTGCTCGAGGTCAGGAGTTAAACCAGCCCTGAGCAAGAGCGAGACCCCGTCTCTACTACAAATAGAAAGAAATTAATTGGCCAACTAATATATATATATAAAAAAAAAAAATTAGCCGGGCATGTGGGCGCATGCCTGTAGTCCCAGCTACTTGGGAGCCTGAGCAGAAGGATTGCTTGAGTCCAGGAGATTGAGGTTGCTGTGAGCTAGGCTGATGCCACGGCACTCACTCTAGCCTGGGCAACAAAGTAAGACTCTGTCTCAAAAAAAAATAATAGAAAAGGAAAAAAAAAGAAAAGTGAATAGAACAATAAAAAAAAACTTTAAAAGAAAAAAAAAATTTATCTTTTTTTTTTTGAGACAGAGTCTCATTTTGTGCCAGGCTAGAGTGAGTGCTGTGGTGTCAGCCTAGCTCACAGCAACCTCAAACTCCGGGGCTAAAGCAATCCTACTGCCTCAGCCTCCCGAGTAGCTTGGGACTACAAGCATGTGCCACCATGCCGGCTAATTTTTTCATGATTTTTAGTTCCGCCTAATTTCTTTCTATTTTTAGCAGAGACGGGGTCTTGCTCTTGCTCAGGCTGTTTTCAAACTCCTGACCTTGAGCGATCTGCCTGCCTCGGCCTCCCAGAGTGGTAGGATTACAGGTGTGAGCCACCGCGCCCGGCCAATTTATCTTATTTTTTAGCTGAACAATATGTTGTGGCTTCTCTACATGATCATAAACATAGCTCTACATCTTCATTTTAAATGTTCATAGAGTACTTTGTTACCAATATATTGGGTATTTAGGTGATTTCTGATATTTCACAGCACTACAATTAACATCCTTGTGCATTTTCCAGATTTTTTTAGGTTTGTTTTTTTTTGAGACAGAGTCTCACTTTGTTGCGCAGGCTAGAGTGAGTGCCGTGGCATCAGCCTAGCTCACAGCAACCTCAAACTCCTGGGCTCAATTGATCCTCCTGCCTCAGCCTCCCGAGTAGCTGAGACTACAGGCATGCGCCACCATGCCCGGCTAAATTTTTCTATGTTTTTAGTTGGACAATTAATTTCTTTCTATTTTTAGTAGAGACAAGGTCTCACTCTTGCTCAGGCTGGGTTCGAACTCCTGACCTTGAGCAATCCTCCCACCTTGGCCTCTCAGAGTGTTAGGATTACAGGCATGAGCCACCACGCCCGGCCATATGATTATTTTTCTTTTCCTGCGTAACTTATTCTTAGAGTTAGTGCTCATCTTGTTTTTCCCAGTTGCTTAGCATCACATATTCCAACCAAACCCTCTGCTGGCTGTCTAAATTTTTCAAGATGTTCAGATGCACCAGGTGTTCTGGCTCCTCCTGGAGCCCTCTGACCTGTTCCCATCTGGACCCTGGCCCTCTGTACCTGGCACACAGATGTCATCCTGGAACCTCTCTCCCCCATCATCCTGTTGGGTCCTTTTTGCCTCTGTCCCGTGGAACTCACATTCCTGCATCTCCTGTCTTGCTCTTTCTTGGGTTACTCTTTCATGTCAGTGGAGCACAATTTCCACTAGCTTCCTGGAAAAGGGTGTGTTGGGGGGAATAAGCTTTTTGAGAGCTTTTGTTCTACACTCACACCTCATTGAAAGTTTGGCCAAGCAAAGAATTCTAGGTTACAAATATTTTCTTTCTAAAATACACTGGAACACCTCTTCACCACCTTATCTTTTAGCTCCCAGTGTTGCTCTAACTCCTTCTTCCTCTGAAAGCTTATAGAAGCTGGTCTTTATCATGCTCTGTGCTGGGGCACTTGGTGGTCCTTTCCATTTAGAAACTTGTACCCTCTGGTTCTGAGAAATTTTCTTAAATTATGTATGTCACTGATGATTTCCTTCCTTTTATATTCTGTGTTCTCTCTAGAACCGTTAGTTGAATATAAGACTTTCTAAACTGGTGCTCTGTTATTTGTATCTTTTCTATTTTCCATCTCTCTGACTTTCTTTTTTTTTGAGAAAGAGTCTCACTCTGTTGTCTGGGCTAGAGTCCCATGGCGTTAACCTCGATTATAGCAACCTCAAACTCCCGGGCTCAGGAGATCCTCCTGCCGCAGCCTCCCGAGTAGCTGGGACTACAGGCATGCGCCACCATGCCCGGGTTATTTTTTCTATATATATTTTTAGTTGGCCAATTAATTTCTTTCTATTCTTAGTAGAAGATGGGGTCTCGCTCTTGCTCAGGCTGGTTTCGACTCCTGACCTTGAGTGATCTGTCCGCCTTGGCCTCCCAGAGTGCTAGGATTACAGGCGTGAGCCACCGCGCCCGGCCTTCTCTCTGCCTTTTTGCTCCACTTTCTCAACTATTTCAACTTTTCTTCCTACCATCCTATTAAATTTTTTATTTCTGCTACTAGGTTTTTAATTTCTAAGAGCCATTTTTTTTGTTGTTGTTTCCTAAATACTTTGTGTCATTGTGTCCCTGAAATAAAAAGGTATTTTCTCTAATGTCTCTGAGGCTATTAATGAAGTTTTTTCTTCTTGTATAGTTTTTATGTCCAATTAGTTTTTTCCCCCCCCGTTGGTTTATTTTACCACTGTCTTTTATATTATAGGCATTGCTTACACATCTAAGAATCTTTGCTTGTCTGCTCCTATTTAAGAAACTTAAGGCTGTTGATTAGAACTCTGAGTGCACAGCAGGACTTTGCAACCCTGGGCTCCACTGTGGGCTGATCTGGGTCTGCTGAGCGACTTCCAATTCCAGGCTCTTAGATTTTCCTATCCAGATGGGTCCAAGTCCCAGAGAACAGTCTTCCTCTCTCTGGACAAAGGCCTAGCTGCCAGCATTCCAGGGGCAGGGAGGGGAGGCAGGCTGGAGGGTCTAGCATGGAGTATGCCAGAATTGACTTACTCCCTGTTTTCAGTACTGAGTCTGGCTCTCAGCTGTGCCCCCAAGTCCAGGGATTCTCTCTTTTAACCTCTCTAGTGAGTCATAGGCCTGGCTGTGCCGGGGTGTGGGAAGGGCAGTTCTGGCTGTGCTGTACAAGCCAGGGATCCAACTGCCTCTTGGGCAGACTTTCCAGCAGTCTTCTTCATGTTGGTCTCCCACCTTGACTTCTAGAGCCAATTCCTGGGGCTTTGGGGGACAGCATTGTGTAAACTGAGTGATTTTCAGCTTTCCTTTCTGCTAGTGCAGGATGCTGAGTTCCTGGGACTAGCTAACACTCACCACATGTGTCTAGCTTCTAGAATTTTGCTGCTGTTGCTCCTTTCCCATTCTCCCAATTCTTGTGAATTCATACCTTTTTTTTTTTTTTTTGAGACAGAGTCCACTTTGTTGCTCAGGCTAGAGTGAGTACCGTGGCAATTAGCCTAGCTCACAGCAACCTCAATCTCCCTGGCTCAAGCGATCCTACTGCCTCAGCCTCCCAAGTAGCAGGGACTACAGGCATGCGCCACCATGCCTGCTAATTTTTTTATATATATATATTTTAGTTGGTCAATGAATTTCTTTCTATTTTTAGTAGAGACGGGGTCTTGCTCAGGCTGGATTCGAACTCCTGACCTTGAGCAATCCACCTGCCTCAGCCTCCTAGAGTGCTAGGATTACAGGTGTGAGCCACCATGCCCGGCCAATTCATGCTTTTAAAATACTTTTATTATTACTTAGTGGGTTTTGAAAGGAAGCAAAAAATAGATGTTCAATCCTCCATCTTTACTTCAAATTTGAGATCAGAAATTTACTGTATTCTCATAATCTCAGAAAAAACAAACAAAAATGCCCTTCACCTAACATCTATGGAATATCAGGTGTTTCCCTTCTTTATCTTGTTTACTTTTGACAACTACCATGAATGGTAACGGTGAGTATCACTATTTTACAGATGAAAAAATCTGAAGCTCAGAGACTCTTTTTAGTGGAGTATCCACAAGACTGAGAAGCAAATTGGTTTTCTGCTTCCAAGTCTGGTTCTTCTGGCACATCCCACCACCTCACCCTATTAAGCTCTGGCCAGGCTTGCCACTGGCAGGGCCCGGGACCTCACAACAGCTTAGCCCTCATACTGTCTCCATCAAATGTGAGAAAGGCCACATGTGACAAGAGAATCCAGTGCACAGAGTGGTTGACAGCTGGCAGCTCCTGGGCCCTCTTAGGCTCAGTCGCTCTGCTGCTGGGGAGTTCCCCTAAGGGAGGAGTGACTGCTCTGCGCAGACAAGTGTCTCCTTGCTCCCTCCTCCCCAGATTGACTGCAGGGGTGAAGGAAAAGTCTAGCTGGGGAACCAGTAGAAACTTCAGAGACAAAATAAATATTAAGAATTAAGAAGAGAAAGAGAGAGAGACAGAGAGACAGAAATAGATTAGTGGTTACTTAGGGCTAGGTGGGAAATGAGGAATGACTACTTAATGGGTATGGGGTTTCTCTTGGGGTGATGAAGATGGTCCTAAAATTAGATAGTGGTAATGACTCATGACTCTGTGAATACACTAAAACCCACTGAATGTACACTTTAAATGGATAAGTTGTATGGTACATGAATTAATCTCAATAAAGCTGTTATGTTAAAAAATTATCAGAGCTGGGCACAGTGGCTCATGCCTGTAATCTAGTAATCTGGGAGGCTGAGGTAGGAGGATTGCTTGAGTTCAGGAGTTGGAGACCAGCCTGAGTAAGAGTGAGACCCTATCTCTACCAAAAAATATAAAAATTAGCTGGGTGTGATAGTGCACGCCTGTGGTCCAAGCTACTCAGGAGGCAGAGGCAGGAGGATCACTTGAGCCCAGGAGTTTGAGGTTGCTGTGAGCTAGGCTGATGCCACAGCATTCTATCCAGGGCAACGAGTGAGACTCTGTCTCAAAAAAAAAAAAAAAAATTATCAGAAAGAAAATTCCTAATGCTAATAAGGCTACACAAACATGAGATGGTCCTCCTGAGCCATCTTCCTTGCCCATTCAGAAAATTTAGGAGCTCTGATTTGCACTAGCCAAGTTTTGTCTCCCCAGGGAACCAAAGAGCCTTAGTAGACATATTGCCTTGGGGGGAACACATCAGATTAAAAATTACGCTGGCTACAGGATGACACAAAAAGAAGGCAAAAATGTGGATGGTATATTGATGCTGAGGATCAAAACACAACCCAGAGCACGTGAGTTCTATAGAGGAAAGGCATAAATTGGAATAAAAAGCAAACATAAGCAAATAACTAAGGATTTCCATTATTTCAAGTTCAAATTTCCCATTTTATTTTAGTTGTTGGGTATCTGCAAATTCCCTTTTTTCTCAATAATTCTTCTTCCTTTAAAAAAAAAATCCATAAAATAGATGATAATGACCGCTTCGCCCAAGTGAAGTTCTTCACCAGAGCTCTGAGCATGGGTGTGGAGGACCGATCTCAGCAGAGAGCAGTTCCGGCAGCTCACGTTGAGGCCTGGAGCAGTGGCTGGCTCTGAGCTGGCAGAAGCCTCTTGCCAGTCCCTTGGAGCGTTTGCTGCCACCAGGAGAAAGGACCTGGAGCCTACCCCAGCCCTCCTCCACCTCCTAGGGAATTTACTTGACCAGCCTCAGTGTGTTCCTTTCGGATGTTGATCAGGCTTCTGAGAGTCTTCACAGGTTCTTGGGG